TCCTGGCCGGACGATATGTCTGGACCGGATATATGGGACGAACCCGGTGTAGTGTGGTTCCGGTCGGGGTGCAGTGCACAGCAAGCGGTTGGGTGCGTACGACCACGACTATGGCGACTCGAAAAAGTGGGCGGCGACGATCGCCGTAAATCTAATCTGGTCGCGGGGTATACTCACACACAATCGGTCGGTCTGCTGCGGTGGTAGAAGCGGCAGTACAATAATAAATAATAATAGTAAGAATAATAATAATAATAATAATAATAACAATAATAATACTAGAGGGTATTGTAGTATAATGCTCCTTTGAAAGTCTTAGACTCGGAGCCGCGATCCATTGTCAACGAGCCCGCGGCCGGTGACGACTTTACAACGAAATAATACATCCAACTCTTAGCTTTGTTCCGGATTCCGATAAACGCATATATATATATATATATATATATAGTATTTCAGTATAATAATACCGGTACGTTTTTCCACGCGATCGGACGATAAAACCACAGTAATTTTGTTATTATATAATATATACTTCACCGAAACTGTGTCAGTTTTTCAAGTGCGTAACCCGTTAAACCTAACCATTAGAGTTTTTTGTCAATTTGTTTGGTTTTCGCGAATACTTAGCTAATATAGATAATAGGTAAGCCATTCGTAGAGTCTGTAAGGCGATTGATCATTTTCCAAATTCATACGCTTTTGTTTTTTTTTACTGTGGGCGAAAATTTGGGGACCGGAGTATTTTTTACAATTGCACATCCTCCAGTCGGGAGAGAATGTATGTTGGGTTTTCCGTTATAATGTTTATAAATATTGAACTACTCGTTGGTTTTCTTCGGTTCGGTTTGGTTCTTTTTTTTTTTCAATCACTCATCGACAGTAGCCTAGCTGCAATATTTTAATGTTTACTCACCAAGTAAATAATTATTTCCGACGGTCATTTCGATCGTGTTATTAAATTGTACTGAAAAAAAAATTCGTTTCGCAAAAGTGACGTTTGATTTCGATTTTCCCGACATCGACGTCATATAACTACCGTTTTATTTGGCATCCAAGCGGTTTTGTAAATACGTATAACAATAATGTCGTACTCCCGAAGGTATTTGCACACAGCACTCGATTGTGAAATTCGTTCAATGCGAATTACCAAAAGCTTGATCGATTTCCTGTGTGACACGCGAACAAACACGGCACATAAAACGTGTCAATTTGACCGAAAAAAAAGAGGGAAAGAAAAAAGACATCGATTTCACGTCTGACGAAATTTTATGGGGTGTACGTTAAAAACAGAGTAATAAATGTGAACGTCGGAAATAATAAAATGACAGCCAAATTATCCACAGCGTCACTGAAGAAACGTTTCTTGGGATAATCGATAGTATTTTTATATTTTTGGAATGTTTGTTAATAATATACTTAACCACATTATTATATAGTATCTACGAGACAAATTTTGACTATTTTGACAAATTTTTAACCATTATAGTTTTATTTTCAAAAAATTGGGGAATTTAAAATCATCTCTTGTTTTCTATATATTTAAATGAGTAACAAGAATGGAGTACAATAATATTCCGTAGACAATTATGTCTAAAACAAAAAATTTGACAATAGCTAATGTTATATTTAACTGTTTTGAAGGTTAAATACTTACTTGAAAATCAAATACGTAAACCAAATTTACTTACAGTAGTTAAACAAAAAAAAAAAATAATTATGACGGTATGATTATGCATAATCATAATGGAACAACTGGAAATTTATTTTTAGATAACATTCTTCGTTCAATTTTTATTCAACTCTATGTTTTGTTTCATAAAATTAAATTATAGTTTCAAGCGAGGTGGAGCAATTAGTAAACAACAAGAAATATTAAATTATATTATTGACAGTGCTAAATTGCCTATACAAGGCTCCGTGTTAAGAAAACACATGAATACAACAATTAATTATCACAATAATCGATTAATGACCGCATACTACACTATATTAAATTGAAAATCTACACTAACATTATTCTAATGGTATCATCCAATCATATTTTACTAAACATTTTATCAGGAAGTTAATCATCTTCGAATATTATCATTCAATACGAGATAAACGAGATTAAGTAGTAAACATTATAATCTTGTTTTAATTTTCAGTAAAATAGAATATTAGTAAGATATTTATTACTAACTATCACCTGTAATGAGTAAGCTTTAATTGTATTGATCTTTTTTTTAAATCTAACTACACATTATCCAATGTTGGTCCAAAAATCAACTTTAGAACAATTATTATATAATTTCTTTTTTACTATTCTTCAAAATTTTAATATTTCAATAACCATTAAAGGTTTTGTTGAAAAACATTCGATTTTAGTAAAATTGTTTTTAAATACTAAAATTAAAAATTAAAATCTCATTTAATTTAGTTCGAATTAAAAAATTCTTAGTTAAAAGTTTTGTCAAATATTTAACTTTTATAAACTGTTTTCATTGTTACCAATATTTTAATTTTTAAATAGCATCAATTATAAATTAAAAAAATATTAATAACTATAAAATTATTATAAAATAATAATAAAGAGCAGCATGGCTTATACATTGTAATTTTAAATATAAAACCCTAATACTGGATATTGTAATATCGACTTCTTATTTTTATAATTTCCTATTTTTGTTGTATTTCTTAGCATATTAAAATTTAAAATAATATATAAACAAATAACAACTATAGTGTTATTATAGTATACCTAGCGACTTAAACCTAAAATAAAATATTTATGTAAATTTGGCACATTTATGTTTGTACAAAATATAAAATAAAAGAATGCAAATATCTCGTATTATAATATTATCAATTACGTCGTTATAGTACCATATGGATGAGAAATAAACATTGTTAACGAGTTGAAAAATCAAAAACAATTATTTTACATTCTAAATAGTGAACACAATTTATAGTTTTGTGTTTCGGTGTTGGTTTTTTTAATTAAAAATATTTACAATAATAATGAACTTGTAAAATAGGTTCATTTCGGACACTACTGTACTTTTACTCCATAATGGTCAAAGTGGAATAAAAAGTAAAAATTCTTTACAAGACACGTAGTTATATTCTAACAGTAAAAACTAAATCGTGCCTGAAATAATAAAACTTTATTAAACAAAAGGGATCGACAATTTTTTAAATGTATTTTTTAAACGTTTTTCACATTTTCAGCACTTTATTATTTCTGTATGAAAAATAATGAAAACTCGAATATGGCAGTACTTTATATTTCATAATCAACAGACAATATGTATATAATATTCTTCTATTTTAATACTCACATAATCTCAGATTATCTTAGAGGGTTAAACAACATTAAAAATGCGTACAACGAGGTCAACAAACAGTTACAACATTTGTTACAATATGAAAAAGAAAAATTAGACATTATTCCGTTACGTTGGATACTAGGTGTTTCTAAAACCTTAGAAAACGAGATGGTTGATAGGCAGCAGAAGATGCAATATAAGCCCATTAGATCAACGATTAATGTATGAGTTAGTAATCTATGCACAAACAATGCAAGTTGGTTTTGAATAATGCGTTTTTTATCTTTCATATAGTTGTAACGCATATACAATTTGGTATTAACCGTAAACACTTTTATACCAAATTTACTAATAGAAAATTATTACTATAGCCCATATATTTTCAAAAATATACTCACGTTATTGAAAAAGCATAATATATTTTTATTTTTTTTCAGCAGTCATTTTTTTTCGCATATACAAAAATCAACAAAACAATACTATGCATAGTTTTTAAGTATTTTTTATTATTATATAATTTTATTTCAATAGCAATAAACAACAATAATATAACAACAATAATTTCAAACATAACTGATTACAAAAAAAAAAAACGATGTCAATTTTTTCAAGCGATATTTTAAATTACTAAAATTCAAAACTTGTCTTTTTAAAAAAAAATGTACATAATATTATATTGTGAGGGGGTATTTTTTTAACAAAAAGCTCGTCATTATGATTCAAGTATGCAATTTTTATAATAATTATTTCAAGAAATAAAACGTCCAATCATTATTATTTTTGTTAAATTTTTTTTTCGTTTTTTGTCTATTGCGCGATTAAGGTTTATAAGATTTTAACATGTTTATCCTTAGAAATATTGATTGTCTCAGAAAGCCAATATTATATTTTGTTCGTATTTTTATAGAAATATTTTTTTTTTTCGTAATAGTTATTTGTTCATTTTGTATTGCTATTGTTTACACGAAATTGCAATATGTAAAACGCGTCATAACAATAAAAAAAAATATATTTTATAATTACAAGCTCCCCACAAGCCCCCCCGATTCCCCCAATTTTGAATAAATAGAACAGTGATTTTGTAATTTCAACTATAACACTTTAATTTATATATACCTATATATACTTTTTTTTTATGAACTTCATTTTAAGTTCATACAAAAATTGCGTGTAAAAAAACTTTTAGTGCCGTTGTAGTGATTTTTGAAAATATTATTATGATTTTTAACAAGAATTCATAAACAGCCGCGATTTATGATGGTTATAATTATAATTATAATAATAATAATAATGATAAAAAATCGTACTAATTTAGTAGATGATAAAAAAAATAATTAAAATTAAGATATAGCTGCTCATGAACGAAATATTTTTTTTCTCAAAAATGATAACTTTCAGACTATTGAAATACAATTATAAATTCGGTAACGCAGTGTATAAAATAATGTTCGAAATCAATAATGTACAGTTATTCAACTTACACTCTAAAATTTTTTTTAACCACTTTACATTTGATATTTACAATTATAAAAAAAAAAACAAATTACAATTTTGTTTTTATATATATAAAGAATTTTCTAAAGAACAATACTGCATATTAGGGTACAGCATATTCCGATACAATTTTTTTTTTAGTTTTTTTGTTTTCTTAATTATTTTTTTTAAATTGGCTCTCCTAAGGTTTTTCTCATATTTTTTTGTATAATACATAGGCGATTATAATTTTAAACTACACTCTTGATAATACTAAAACATTATAGAGTACAACGAGCGTTATACATATTTCTTTTGTTTTTGGTGTTCTACATAATACACATTATAATTATAATCAAATTTTACGATTACGAGACAATTATATAAACGATAAAGTAGTTATTTATGTAAACTATTATACAACGAGATTTTATGCTATACAAAAAAAGTTACCGACGGGTGTAGCGCTAACACGTCGTTCGTTTTCGGTCTAAATCGCAGCGGCGAGACTCGAAAAGTGGGGCAGCGCACACGTTGTGGGCAACACGATCGAGTATGACGGAAAAAACATTTCGGTGGGAAAAAATTGTATAAATATTAGGGCATGAGGTACATAAAAAGTGGACATAAAGTTGTTTCTCCTGGAGACAACGGTCATCAAGACACTCGAAATCATCAGACCCGTGAATCGAAACGATTGTGTACCCGGACCTGACCGTTAACCTGACAAGGGAAACGAAAAATTTGACGACCATGACGATTGTATTCTGTTTATTTCCAGTGTGTTCGAGAAAAATAAATTTTTCAAAACGCGCAGAGCGATCTCCGAACCATTGATCGTTCCAACGAGACGCGCAAGTTAGGATTTCAAAACACACCGACACGCATGGACACGTAGTAATAAGCGAAGACACGTACAAATACGCACAGCTACACACACTTAATATAGTATGTGCTTATACTAGATGGAAGAAATTTTACATCATAGGTTTAACCCCCTAAGTTATAAAATTTCAACTATCCAGTACACGCACACGCATATTAATCGGTGCGTGTGTGTGTGATTTGGCACAGGTACTCGAATACGCGAAAGATGTATACTTGAAGTCGTAACACGGCGATTGGGTGGATATGTTACAGTATGTGGTTTTGATCGACGATCACGTGCTTCGATACGTTTACCTAACCGACGTCCGGCGTAGGGATCAGATAATGGTATATCAGAAAGATTTCGTTTCAAACGTGTTCTGATTTCGATGAGTGGACAAACAACAGACGAAACGCCTATGATTCTCGGCGTTCTACCGTTCGCATTTTCGATAAACGGGAGTACAAACAGCAGAGTTTGCTAAAGAAAACGAATACAATAGGTGACACGAAGAAAACCATCGTAGTGTAGCCACGTTCGGCGGAGGCGGAGGTGTTGGAGGTCGTGGAGGTTGTGGTTGAGGAGGTTGTGGTGGTAGTGGTTGCGGTCGTGGTCGTGGAGGTTGTTGTGGAGGTGGTTGTGGTGATCGTGTTTGTCATGTGCGATTGCCGCGCAATCGAGCCCGGCCCCATGCGATTTAGATGTACGAATACGGACCGTCTGTGAGAGCGCTACAAAGCAATAGTCAGGAATTGTCGTCTTTGGCACGTCCTCCGTTCCTGCTGGTGGGTTTGTACTCGAGCCCAGGATCGAACTGCATCAGCACGAATACCTAAGACGGATAAACAATAATTCATATTAATAAACGACGAAAAGCCAATCGTTGAGTCCATGAAAAAAAAATCTTCATATTGTATGACGTCATTGTCGTCGTGAAAACAATAACAACATAATATTGTCATCGAAAAAAAACTCCGACGAAAAGATTAATTCTCGACTCGGACTCGTATGTTTTTTGAGGTTTCTTTTGCAGAAAGGTCTAAAACGACCGTTTTGCAAATAATACCTCATATTATGAACTAATAACTATATATCAGGTACGATTCGATAATAATGATTATAATGGAATAGGCACCTATGTACGCCTGTGCGCGACATCGCGCCTTATTCGCGACACAATAACGGCTAACCTCGACATTCAAAACGAATAATCCGAACAAGCCACGCTGCACTTGCGCACGCGGACGCGATGTCGTCTTGGCCCGGCTCCAAGTTTTTGGTAAAAGAGTACGCTGCGCATCGTTGGAAGCTGTGACCCGGTGAGTACCAGAATAGAACGCGTTTTCGAATCATATTGCCTACGGACACCGCCGCGGCGGGGGGGATATAAATTTACACGCGCCCGCCCGCAACTATTAAATTGTGTGAATCTTAATCGACCGTCAGCAACAGTCTGACACAGTCCGTCTGTCCGTCGTGGAGAGGTTCGAAAATATAATAGTAAATAAATGCGTCAGTTCACGGTGGGATTTCGAATGTTTCGATTCGAGGTGGATAACGTGTTCAAGCCACGCTCGTAGATTATGATAATACATATACATTTTTTTTTTTTTTTTTTACTACCTACCTACGATTTTATTTTGGAACGACGCTTCTTAAATTCGTGTCAACTCATACAGACAAAAAGGAATTTCGTTTTATTTTATTTTATATTTTGTTTCGTCTATAATTTATTATATAGCAGAAATAGACCAGCGATCGAGAAATTATTATTTTTTACTGGAGAACATTTTTAACGAAAACTATATGAATAATATGATACATTTTTACAGATACAATATAAAGCGTGTTATAAGAAGATATAGGACGTCCGTCGTCCCGTCGCGATATGATAACGGTCGCGCGAGGTCTGATAAATCGAATCTATGCAGTATAATAAATTAGAACCATCGTGATTATATTTTGCTAGAAATTAAATAACAAATCTAGAATGACGGTTATACTAATATGAAATAAGTTACCTGGTCCGTGGGCATCAGTGAGAAATCGTCCGGTGGGTTTGTGATGACGTATCGTTTTGATGACGCGTCGCAAGACGAGCTCCTGTCTCTGAATCTGTAACAACACCGAAGAGACCGGATGAGAATAGCGACGTCCGGTCGCCGACGTTAAAATACGCAAAAAAGGGACGACACTCACAAACAGTATAACTTAAGAGTACACCGACACCACAGACATACACACAGACACGCAGTAATGCAAACGGGGAGAAGGAGGAGGGGTAAATTAAGAGGGATCCAGTCTGAACCGAAAGACGACAAAAGGACAACTCACAGTCAATTTTTTTTTTTGGTCTTGTGCTAGTGATTCTTTTATCGAAAAATAATCAATGTTGAAAACATTACAACCATTTCCGATAATATTTTTATTACAACTTTTAAGTTATAAAACACCTAATGATGTATCATTATCATAAGTTTTTTCTGTTTTGAACGAAAAACATGCAATTTTCATTTCTTATTATAAAAATTAATTATTTTTAAAATACTTTGATTTATAATTTATAAAAATCAAATTTTGGATGAGTAGCTCACTATTTTTTTTTAATTTCCAGTAGGTTAACCTTGATGAGTTGAAACGAATAGCAAAACAGGTTATACACAAAATTATGCTCATTAAAATTTCAAATATTTTTAACTCATCAAATTCTCGTCCAAAATTTGATTTTATAATTATGAAAACTTCGAAAAATATCTTTAACTTTGAAAATGACAACAATAGAAAATGGTAAAGAATATTATTTTTTTGCAAAAACGTTGTTCTGTAACAACTTAAAAATATTATTTTCAAAAATGTTAAATTAAAAATTAAAGTTTTTAAAATAATAATTTTTTCCCGATAAAATAACCACTTTTAGAGATCAATATTTTTCTCTTAAAATTTTTTTTGTGAGAAAAAAAGTGAAAAAAGCATAAAATATATTTGTATAAATTATTCGGCGCCAACACCTATATTTTTGATAAAAGCGGTTTGTTCAAAAACAAATTGTGCGTCTTCGGATTGTTTTTAGACCATTTTCGATTCGGCCCCGACGAACAGATAAATATTTCGTCCCCTCGACAGCATAAATGTATCGTGCAATCGTCAAAATGACAATATTAAAGCAAAAATATTTTTTTTTTTTTAAGACTTGTTGTCCACATGCACACGCACACCACTTACATGACGTCTTTACGCTACGAATACGAACAAGTCAAGTACTTGGCAATCGATCGAAAAACGAGATGATTTTCTTCGTAATTTAAAAATCCCAAGTCATCGGTCCGTTCAATTGTCATAGTGACAATAATACCATAACCATAACTACATAATGGTAGATTGTTCGGAAAAGCTGAAGTGATGATCCCCAGAAATCAATATCCAATATTTTGATTCTCAAATAAATAAAACAAGTGTTTTTATAACTATGTAATTTACATATGTAGTGATAAAATAGGTTTCTTTTTAGCACGTCTTATGAATTTTTAAGTATAGAAAAATTCGTACAATTAAGATAGTACGTGCTGCTCGATTACAAAATATTTAGTGGATGTATACTTTTAATTTATATTTTTAAAACATAATAATATTGCACTACTATTATAGTTCAAGTTGCCCAGTCATTAGTTAACTATAGACAATATTATGACCTTATATATATAGCGCAAATTCATAATTAGTTAGTATTAATTCAATGTTGAAGTAAGCGACCTTTATTTAGTTTTATCAATCAGTATCTACATATTATAATCTTAATATGTATCAAAATCTCGTGCCACAGTGTTTGTTGTTTTTTATGTCTATTTTTTATTAGGTTTACTATTCCTAGGACTCAAATGAGATCTCTTCTGAATAATCTACAATCTGGTAGCGATATCGTTATAAAACGATGTAGTATAGTTATGGTAGTCATGTTTGCCAGTCGTGATGTCATGTGTTCGTGTGCATGTTATAATAAGATGTATGTAATACGATTCGTCTTCTGGTCGAGGAAACGAAATAACCGTCGTGACATCATATTTAAAGTGGCAACATAGTTAGGTCACCAAATTCGTTTTAAATTTAAAATAAGAGTTTTCTTTTTAAATTATTTGTATTATTGTTTATAACATTGAGTAATATATTATATTTGTCATCAATCTTAATAAAATAAAATAAATCATAGTACATCATATTTGTCATTGTTCTGCTGGAAAACCACCTTAACTCTCAAGTGCAAAATAGGTCAAAATATTTTCTTGATTTCTGTGATTTCCGAAAAAATATATCTCTATATTAAACACACCTCCAGTTGTGTAGGAAAAATTAATTTAAAAGGAAAAGTGATCAAATAAATAATACGTTATGTGGACTTTAAATTATAAATAGATACTATATCTGAGAAATAAATTATACACTAAAGCTAAAAACGTTAAATAATCAAAAATATATTTGTTTTCAATACGATTCTCTGAGCCTTTATAATTTCAAACCGATAATTATAATATAATTAAATTATTAATAACTAATTTTTTTTTTTTTAAGTCTGTTTTAAAATTTGATTTTTTTATTCTTTATTGTATACCAGACACCATTTTCAGACTGAAAGTTTCTGTAGTTTCCAGCACTCGGTACGATAACAACTTTCGATGGAATCCGAAAGCTATACTTCGCACACGCCGCCTCGGACGATTGCAATAAAGAAATAAAAAAATTAATTTGTACTGAAACGAAATAATATTATTATGATATCACGACGATGGATCACGATCATGACGATTGTGACGACCGTGTGTCGGGGACGGATCTGGGACCCCTCTTAATCCGTTTTGCGGTTATGGCACTTAAAGTTAATAGCAAACTACAAAACATGTATAGTTAGTTGTTCATACCGGTACCTGTATAGACCAATGCACAGCATCCCGTACGACTTGAGGGCGGACACGAACAGGTCGCCGTACTTTCCGGCCTCACCGAACTGCGCCAGTGGCCCGTCGTAGAGCGAGATCTGCCCGACCCGGCACCGATCGCGGTTAGCCAAGCTCTCGTCAGTGCTGAAAAACCGTGCGATTGCGTCATTAGAATACTGAATATGATAACCGAGACCGTTGACTTCTATATATAATGGATTTAGAGTTTAGACTTTGAAGGCCTGCGCTTTATTTTTCCAATCGGTGAAGCTCGGGCCACGTTTATATGTTATGTATTTTTCATTTTTCCATGATGGAGTTTTTTTTCTAATATTTTGTTTTATAAAAATATGTCGACATAATTGGAATATTTGACAGTTAAGTATTTAAATTGTGTACTCCATTATAATATCTGGGACAATGTTTCGAATCAAGTTGTCTTGGAATGTTTAGTCTATGGATATGATACGGAATTGGTACTTATATAATAGTACACTGCATTTTAAAAATAATAGATCGTTTTAAGGCAACTGTTCAGTCGTGCCACTAGTGAATTTTTCATTTTAATATAATTTGAGGTTATTACTTATTTTATTTGATAGCAAAATAACAAAAATTAAGATTTCTTATTCCACACAGCTATATTATCCAGTTTGGGAATTTGAATAATATATTTGTACTTGCCATAGCCTGGTGTTTATTTTTATTTGTTATAAAATGTTATATTGTTGATTTATTTGTTGTTCTTTTTTAATGTTTTATACAGATACAATACCTGAACACCAATAATAATATCATATTCTCTCAAACGCTTTTTACCGAGACTCAATTTCGGTTCCTACCATGCCGTTATTATTTTCACTTAAATAGACTCCAGGCGTTCCATGTGTGTTCTCCAAAAAACAAAAAACACGATAAATACCTACCGACATGCAGTATTTTACTGGTAAGTATAATAATAACTTCAGGTCGTTTGCGTGTTTAAACTGCGATACTCACGAACCGTCCCTGGTGCATATTTTAACTCAAAAACTTTACAGAGCACAATGCTATTATTTATTACACTATTGCGACTAGCCAGGGGCATAGTTTTGTTAGTTTAATTTGAGATTAAGATCCTCAAATTAAGTTGTACGAACGTTCTACCATGCTGAGTGAAAAAGTTTAGTAACTCCGATTTTAATCGAAACCAAGAAGTTATCACCCGAGTAACGGGGTACTGACTTAACATGGTTTTGTTTGATTTTTCATAAAGAAAATACTTTACTATATCCACTTTATTGTACGTAAAATGAGAGTATAAATATTTGAAAATAAACGACAAGTCCGTTACGTTTTACAACCGTAAGACATACGAAGCAAAAAAAGCCGACGATCATTCGTTCGGTAGTTAATTCGCGTAGTCATGTCCCACAATTGTATATAATAAGTGTACAAAACTTGAAACTAACCTGTAACCACCTCGGAGCCCTGCTCCTTCGGCCAAAATGAGTTCAAGTTCTGGCGTCGCACCACCGGTAATCAGCGATCGGATGAGCGTCAACGCGTTTTGATTGAAATAAGTCTAAAACAAAAACAAAATAGCATTCCATTAAATATTATATGATGTTTTCCACCGTCGTATTATTTTAATGTCACACACTTGTTATTATAACACGTTACTGCAAAAACAGATTAGGTGTGTCAAATTCCAAAGGTCAATAGTGTGTGCTGACGTCCTACTCTACATGGGGTTTTCATAAGAAGTCAAAAGGAGTTTTTGATTTAAATTATTGTCCTGACGAGCGAATACCCCAAAGCGGAAGTAAACTTTTATGTATACAGGTCAACAGCCGATAAAGTCACAGTAAGCGCAGCACGAGAGTGACCCACTCAGTCAGGGTTAGGCTAAATATAGCAAAGGGTACTGTGATCTCTGGAATATTTTTAGAGTTCCGAGAGTAGAAAGAATAAACTTAAATATTATTCTTGTCTCAATTTTTTTTTTTAATGTTATTAGTATGTCACAACTGATTGTGAGGGTTTTAACAAGTATTTTAAATTCCTAAATTAGTATCCCCATATTATAAATTTGATTTAAATTTAAATTGATAATTGCTATCACTAATTCTTTAATTCAAACTCGAGCACCCATTTCCCCAGAATTTAGACTGTGTAATGATTAGGTATGTATACAACAACAAATTATAATCTTAATTATTTTATCGGTAGAAATTATTCAGGTTCGACCTTAAGGGCTTCAGTGTACAATGGTACCTTTTGTAGAGTAAGCTTTTTTAAGCGGAACCGGAAATAGGGGTACAGAGTCTCATTGCTCTCCATCACCACTTGCACCTGTTGCTGCGATAAGCTTTAGTCATGCTTACTACAAAACAATTTTTTTCCTAATTTATATCTTTAAAAATGTTGGGGTGAGCAGCTTCCCTGCAGGGAAAGCAAGAGACCCACATCCGGGGCCATTACTGTTTCATGTGGTACGCGATCGTGAATATTATTATTATTTTCAATGTTCGATGAATTTATTTCATGTTATTATTATTATGCCACTTACCGTCGACATGAGCGAGTCCAAGACGCTGACGGCGAAGGCCGTACCACACGCAAATGGCTGGGTGAGATACAGCTCCGTGTCGGGGTCATCATCATCGTCTTGGTCGAGGAACTGCACGTTGCTGTCGTTGACCAGTTCAGTAATCATCGGAACGTTGGCGCCGTACACCGACCCTCGTCTCTGCAACACTATGGGCCCGCCGGCACAATTCAGACCGTCCGGATCGAATTGTTTGGTCACCGCGGTTTCGTCTGCACAACGTGTCAAAATTAAATAAAATGTGAATGTATCGTTTTTGACAACAAGTCTTATATATTATATACATTTAAATATTTATGTGTTCAGATGATATTTCCAAAAATACATTTCAGAAATTATAAATTTAAAAAAAAAACCAAATACCTGTATATTATAATATATTTAATACCTACAATATTCTAAATATTTTATGCTTCTATACATAATATAGTATACATTTATGTCATTGTATTATTAAATATATTTAAAATTCAGTAAAGCATTATAGAAGTTCTGTATAACAATGAACAGGTTTCGTTTTATTTAATTAAGCTACTAAACTGTTTAAGTTTCTCAAAAAAAAATGTTTGAAATGCAATATAATGGTGACGCATTATTTTATTATATTCATTTTTTATCACAAACTTGGCCAATATTGTACTAAAAAAATATCCCATAATCAACTCTTGTACTAACTCACAGCCATCTATTAATTTGTAATTTTTTTTATGTCTTAAAAAGTAGGTAAAAATTCATAGTTGATTTATATTTGCGTGACATATAACTACCGTAATTATATACGATACACAAACTACAAGTAAACATAATCGATCCGGATGAAGTTCTTGTTCTATGATTCAAAGTTTTAACCCTTACCATTAACAAAAGTGTACGTCAATTTTAATTTAAATAAAATTAGTGAAAGTTAAGAATAGTTGACAATTTAATACGCGAGAAATTATGTAGAACTACATCGGTTCAAATTGTTTTTCAGTCCAATCAACAACCCATAAATATTTCAATTAATTTTGTTCGTGTAGTAGACAGCTTTTGGTGGTGTTACATACGGTTTTCAATTAAACTCTTTCAGCTAGTAACAACTTTATAAAATCGTATTTTATGTTGATCGGGATAAAGTAATGTAGACACAGTCACCAAACTAATTTAAGTGAATAATACGTACCGGGCTCTAAAACAAATTAAAGCGAAATTCGAGATTTAATTGGAAATCAATTCAAACGAATCTGAATGAACAGAACTTTAAACGATTAAAACTTCGTGAATTTAAATCTAAAATTATAAAATGGAAGATCCAATTAAAATTAAAAATAGCTATCATTTTATTACTTCTCCTTTTAAATAAACTCTTCGAAAAGGTTAGAATTGAATGTGAATAACCTATGAGATTTACATTCTAAAAATGTTTGCATTTGTTCGAATACGTTTTATAGTAAAAGTATACAATAGACACTATAAAGACGGCAACGATAACATAAAATAATAAATGGTGTTTTTTTATGAGAAAAAAATACAGTGTCAGCTGTATTCACTTTTAAACAAATATTTAACGAACACTTTTATTTTTTTTTATAATTTATTTTTTTTACCTTGCGTGAGCACTCCAATGGTGTCGTCGAAAGTCATCGCTTTGATGTTCAGTGACGCTAAAATGGCCTCTTTGTCGGCCAACGTAGGGTCGTCATTGCTAGGAACTTTTGCCGACAATATCACACACATATCGCACAGATTTACGTTGACCGCTCGCAAGTCAGCTCGACTCAGTGGCGATCCCTGAAAATGTTTTTAAAAAAATGAAACAATAAATAAATAAAAACTGTAGTTATAGTACTCTTTTTGCTGTCCGATAAAAAACGCAAGGCGATAGCAATTTTTTTATACAAATATTAATAAGCGTAGTGACGATGAGACACTTACGTTGAGCACCGAAATCTTCGGTAAATTCTGTAACATCTTCCACTCTCGGCGGATATAGTCAACGGCACCGACGATCACCACGTGCTTGAGCTCGTGGTAATGGAAATTTGACGCCCGCAGAGGCATAACTAAATTTCTTAGTCCGATCAACGGCGAATCCGGATCGGCGAACAGACACACCACGACGTGGCCGTTCAATACGGTCATTGCGGCTTGGTTCCTGTCCTGAAGAATTTAAATTTTCGATATTAAAATACGCGTTTGTATGCGGGATAGCTGAGTGAATACGACGCATTGTCAAACAGTGTACAGTTTTCCAATGTAACTTACCAAGATACATTCTTCGAGGCTTTTAGCCGAACTCCAGTGGAACATGCCAGTGGAGTCGTACTTCATTTCAGTCTTTTCGAAATCAAAGTCTTTCGCCTGGTCGTCGGCAATACCGATTTGAATACCGTTGCTGTTTATGTTTGTGCCAGCTGATCCTCCTCTGGTCGTCGGTCTTCGATCACGCATGGAAATAATGAAAGATTTTTCGATTAATTTAGCCTTAAGCACAAATCACCATGAACAAGTTCAACAATAATAATTTCAACATAATATTTTACTCGATAAGATAATATTGCTGCTACAAAAATGAAAATAATAAAAATAATTTATGAAATGAATAAAATAATAATATATAATTTATATATAGGTACATATTTCATGTTGATAAAATAAATTACAAATGACGAAATAAACACTGAGTTGAAAAAATATAATAGATGTAACTAACATGTTATAGATATAACTTATTATTCAAAATTATCAAACGATTTTTCCAAAATATTTATTAATCGAATTCACATCAATAATCTAATCATAAATTATTATTTTGCATCAGTTAAAAAAAATGCTTTGAAGCTGATTCGTGTACAAATAAATCGATGGCCGTTTTCCAGAAATGGTATTTTTTTTTTAAAGTATAATTTTTGAAAAATAACTCAAATAATCTAAGTGTTAAATATTTAAGACCCGTTATCAATGAAGAAGACAGTAAATCTAATAAAAAAAAAACTTATTGAGCTACAAACGAAAAATATATCTATAAGTCAAGCGAATTAATAATACAAAGCAAACAACATAGGATTGAAAAAATAACAACATATAGAAACAAGCAGGACAAGAGTGGTGGAATAGTATAAAATATTAAGTAGAAAGCGTACAATAATTTTTTAACTTCGTATGCGAGTTGATATCCGGCGTAGCTTCCTTCTTCTTGTTGAGCTCTGCAATATATTCAAGACGACCACGATCAAACATTTAATTTACACCGAATAAAAAGGAGAGAAAAATGGAAAATAATCAAAAAAAAAAAAAATAGTATAAACCATATGTGGTTATTACTTATTTTATAATATGTGTATGATCAAGTATGTGTTAGAGCTTGGATTCGTGTAAGGAATTAATGCAATAGAATTTGTTAAGAATTCGTTAGTGTGAAAATTTAAATTAAAAAAATATGTTAAAAAAACACAAAAAAAAAACAAAAACAACAAAAAAGGCCGAATACATTATTCGTACATTATTGTAATATTAATTCACATTAGTATCGGATTTTTGAAAAAGGCCTTGTATCTCACCGGTTGTAGTTTGTGTTGGGCGACCCTTTGTCCGCGGGACGGTTGATTGGCTTCACTTTGTTCACCTGTTTTGCCGCTGTCATTATCGAATTGGGCATAGCCGTTGGCGTATTTTTGTTGCCCAACACTGAAAATATAAAGTGAACATAACGTTGTCGAACTCGTGAACGATTTTAAATTGTATTCTCTCTATTTTTGGTGGCTCTCTCTTCTCTTTCGACACATCCCTGTCTTACCACCTATACCACGCCGCTCTACATCTCCCCTCAAAACTTTTACCCTCGGTCCTCACCACTGAACTCGTATTAACGATGTACCACACAAAGACCGTTGGCAAACGTCGAAACTATTCTCTCTCGCAGCCATTGTGCGTCGTTCCCCGGCTAAAACTGTCCAAACTAGAGCCGGTAATTTATCTCTCCCCTTAATCTTCTTTGCTCGTTTATCCCATCCCCCGTATTCCTACCAACACCACCACCACCACCACCACCACCACCACCACCACCACCACCACCACCACCAACTACAGCATACGGTCTTACTCGGCAAGGGTTCATCTCAAATACCGTCACCCTACCCCTCACGATACAGTATCTCATTACGAAGTTCGAATTTCACTTCTTTTTCACAATTTCACGCCACCTCTGATGCCAACATATTTTTCGAACCACGCCTTAATATTTGAATATTATAAATCAGCTTAGTACACCACTGGTTGTTTGCTGTATTAGTATAGTGCTGTTTTCAGCAGAGCAAACTGTGTAATACGCTTTGCCGGGTCCTTTAAAAGTACGCTAAACTACGAACATCTACCATATTAGTAACGGTCAGTAAAGTCTTCCGCTTAATGATGAAAATAGTTGTGGGTGGAGGGTAGGGGCATCATAAATAATCGATAACAGATATCGAGGACCTAACAAATTATCGGCTCTCATCCGGAAAATATAACGAGGATATAAAACGCTAGGACGACGATGGTATTATTGTTATTAGCGCGTTATACAGCTGGTATAGCGGTTGTTGTTATAATTACATTTTAATATCCTAAACAGTCAATGTTGAAACAATGTTAGTCGACTTATATTACGATATGAATCTAATAGCGCAGGTAGCTGTCGTAGAAACATTGTAGTTTATAATAACAAAACAGTAGTAGCGTTGAAAACCATTCGTGTTGTAACACGTGAGTAAAAAATCAAACACCTACTTCGAACCTTAACGTCGTTCGTACATACTCGATGATGGCTTATGTCGGACACAGGATGTTTTGTAAAGTTATATGTAAGCATCAAAAGTATAATTATTATTATTACGTTTTAACAGCGTCGGCCTGCAGCTCTCGTCTACATTAGATGAGGAAGTCGTGTTAGGTATATCGTATACAAAAACCCCGGTGGGCGGTGACCCAGTATCAAAACTATAACGTTCCACTCGAATTTCGGCGTCAAAGTTTTAGAACGGTAACTAGATATTATATAGGTTATGAGTCAAAATAATTATAGGGTAGAATAAAACACCAGCATATGAGAGGGACAGTGAAGGAGTAGATAATTAAACTCGCGCAAAAGTCATTTTCAAAAGATTTTCAATTGTCCCGTATCAATATCGTCATCTTGCAGTGTATATCCCCCCCCCCCCCGGTTGGACCAGCTGGATATCGGACTATTGCAAACGGAACCGTCGAATTTTGATCCTGCTGTGATTTACATGACCGTCATTTCCAGTGATCGAAGTGAGGTAGAGTATAAAGGGATTGCCACGCATCCACTTCTTTTACAGTCGTTTTCCATATTTCCAATGATTTAGTTCAAAATTACTCATCCGTCTTTGGTTTAAAAAATTCAGTTGATTACATAATAAATGCAACTATCATAAACCATGATGTTGCCTAAGTTTTGTTTTATAAAATTTAGTAGACCAAAATATCCAAAATTTTGCTACCTAATGTTGTGATTTCAAAATAATAATAATATGTAGAAACAGCAATTTATTAATAAATGATCACTAATGAGTAATGACCGATAAAGATTTTACTATAGCTTATGAATTTGGGAACGAACTGAATTAGTACCCCTTTCCCCCACCACCAAATATTATTTTGATCCACTCCGACCACTGGAAGTCTCTTAATATGATATGACTACATTCATATAATTATATCACGATGCACAACTGTAAACGAACATAATATTCTATTAAACGCGCGCCGGCAATGACCCACTCAGTTGATTTTTGTTTTATTACGTATTTGGGTATAAGATCCGTCGTGTATTTGTTCGTGCGTTTTATTTCAATGATAATTTAATACGATCTCGTCCTATCGCTAAGGCTAAAATGTCGTCGTGTGCATCTACAATACAACGCGCTGCAGTTGATCTTCGGTTCACATTAATGTTATAATAATATAATGGTCCATAAACTTTGGGACAACGGTTACTACAACGGCCGTTTACTTTTAAACGCGCGGCAAAGTGCATTGTGCAAAAACTATTGGTTAGATATATTATTTTAATTTACAGTGTTGTATAGCAACTTACGTGTTATTTCCTTTTCCTTCCCGACGTCACCTGAGAAAAGGTTAAACAAAAAAAAAATACAAAGACTATTAAAAAGCGTTAGTATAGAGAATAAGAGTTTTAGTAGACGTCAAATACACAAAATAAAAACACTTCAAAAAACCAAAAACAAAATTACTAACAAATGTCACGAAAGCGATATTAACAAAACCCAATAATAATAATAATAATTTAATTATATATAATTAAGGCCAGCGCACATCAAGCAATTGTAAATATCATGGCTTCGAAAAACAACGTTCTCAAGAGCAATTTAAATTGTAAATAATAAGTAATAATAAAATAGCGAGTGTATAATATTTCGCCATACATTATTATGATGCCTAACATTGCACACAGCATAATAAACGTATAAATTAATATAATATAATCTACAGAAAAATGAAATAAAATGTACAAAAGAAAAAAAATTAAAAACAATGTTCAAACAAACGGGAAGGTATACATCTTACATTTCACACGGATAGGTTGAGATGTAAATGTATATGTTTGTGGAATCGAATAGATTTAAGTTTTGATCGTGAAAATTGGCAGAAAATCGTATTGTTGTGTCGCATAATGAGAGTTTGTATAATATATAACATGTGCTTATTTCTTTAATGTTTTTTTTTCTTGTGAACAAAAACACGTGAAAGGATGTATATGTATTATAATATGAAACAAAGATGAAGGAATGAAGGAACCATCAAGAGTGCCACGTCGAAGACACAATGCACTTAAGACAATATAAAGGCAAAAGCAACAGCAGTTTGTTTTGTTTTTATTGTTGTACCTCTGATATTATGTACTCTCTTTGGAAGAGTTGGTGGAGTTTCCGTGGGGGGAGGATGATCGTCTGAAAGAACATACATTCCAAAATTCACTAACCGACATAATTGTTTTTATTTAAAAAATAAATAAATACAATTTAAGGATGTTATATTCAAGTATTATGGTTTCATAATTTATCCCCAACAAACACACGAAATCAAATTATTAATCGTAGTATATTTCCATACGCAATTTATACAAAAACCTAGTTTGAGCGATGATAAATAGATCATGAAATAAATTATGAATTGATTTTGGATTCTTTATCGAACATTTTGATTCTTTTTACATCTGAAGTAGGTAGGTACCTATACATTTATATAAACCTATCATGACGTATATTTGCAAAGGAATGAAAAATAAAATATTTAACTATATCAACGAATACTCTTAACTATAATGTAGTAAAATAATATTATTTGTTAAAAATGTAATTCAAATATACCAAGTTGAAATGTTTAACGAATTTAAATTAATAGCGAATGAAAATTCCAACGGACAAAATACTAAAAGCTTTGTGTTCATACTATGGTTGTAATCATTATTCACTTGGTACTTAATAAACTTGTATATATTTGAAAGATAAAGTTGTCAATATATTTGTTTGAAGATTGCATACAACTTGAATAAATTTATTTTGTATTACCGTGTAGCGTGAACAATATTGAGTTAAGTTTTAAAATACGATTGACTGTTATATCTATCGATTTGTACAGTTTTACGTGTATACTGTATATTATATTTGAGTTTTTTTTTTTTATATACAGAAGATAATATATTGAAATAACTTAATTGCGAGTTGTTATTTTGCATATTTATAGATAAGTACCTGACATTTTAATCAACATAAAAATATATATGGAATAGTAACAACGACGCACGACATAAATCTATAATAGCAGTTCATCAACAAATTAAGATTATCAGTGGATAAACTCAAAAAACAAATTGAGCAGCTACAATCTCAATAATATGAAAGCGTATCGTTTTTCGCAGTTATCATTATCGACTGATTCGTGAAAAAATCTTCGATAAAGAATCATATTATTATTATCTGTTTGCCGGCACGTTGTCATATCGAGGTCAAGCCAACGCGCGTTCAGTTCTACCCACACCTAAGTCTACGGTGTTTTTTTCTTCAATTTTCAATATATAGGTATATACTATTATTATCAACTTACTTCAAACCATCCAACTCTGTTCAAAAAATAATAATAATACTTACAAAACAGAAAAATAAACAGTACTCGAAAAAGACCATGCAACTCTATAATGCGAGGTTATCATAATATAATAATATTATGCGTGCATCTTCAGCAGCAAACACGTAAAACCATAATTACCTAACGTAAGAACCTAACCTAACCAAAACATAATTTAAATAATGGTCGTCATAATTTGATATTCTATTTTTATAATATGAAAACGATATTATCACTATAGTTATGGTAATTAATAGTTACAAACTAGTGTGACAATAATCAATCTCCGGGGCGGATGTTAAAGTTCACCAGCAATCGCCATCGCGCATTCGTATAATATAATAGGTACCCACAACAACTGCGCAAAAAATGGACGAGGGCCAAAAACTTTGAACGCCGCAAGCCGTCGACGCTGCCGCCGTCGGGACCTGCGTCCGCATTGTCTGACACACACACACACACACACACACACACACACACACACACACACACACACAAGAAACGGCCTCGACGACTCGGTATTTAATACAGTGTATTTTAGCCGCAGAGCAATTCGATGATGTTTCGACGGCATCCGAAAGTGCCAATAAACGTCGTCATCGTGTGTGCGTGTGTACCTACTACACCGGTGCAGAAACGGTATTAGAAAACCAAGACGTACGTGAATCGGCTCTCGCGTTTCACTCGCGGGTTGGCCGACTAAATATAGGCGTATATTTGTGACATTGGATTCGTAAAAAATCGCGGTCACCCACTACGGTGGTTATATATATAATATAATATGATCGTATGTATATTTTTGTTTTTCCGGGAAAATAACAACACGTAGGTATGATATTGTTATAATACCGATAGGCTATACAAGCGATGGAAAAAAATACAGCCATACCTCGAAAACCTCGATAATTCAAATTGCTTTCTTTCTCCTTGAAGTATTTTTAAGTTGTGTTTGAGGAACTCATAAAACTCAAAAAATGTATAGGTCGAATTTTTTATTCCTCTTGAGATCTGAGTTATCGAGACTGGACTGTAGGATTTTTGTTTGTTTTTTGCGCGCCGATCGATTATGTTTCCGACGTTCGGCGACGGCTGACCTGTGGCAGTGTTGTTATATAGTACCTATATACTATGAACGTGGATATGAGAACCGGCCAAAAATATATTAATATGATCTATGCCATCAAATCCCGCCGGTTATAGTCCCAGTCAAGAGTATCCGTTGGTATCATATAGCAGGAAAAAAGGATAAAAACAAAGTCAAAGAAGATAACGTCATGCTTTCACACGTCGTTGGGTACTTTTCTAAGACACGTTGAATTTAATACAATTTTCTGAGAACAAATTATCCGAAAAACAAATAATAATATTCAATCAATATTAGCGAAAAACTAAACGTTGTGTTTGAAAAATAAAAATAAAAATAAAAATAATATAAAACTAACAGATACGAATATATACGTCTATACCGGTCGACCAATAATGTAATAGAAAAACCAATATTAACCATTTATTATTATAAGTATAACTTTTAGAATGGTATTCATTACGTAGGTACCCAACTATTACAATAGCATGCTAAACCTAATCGACCTAACTAATATACCTACGGAAGAATAGTAATAAACAATGAGCCCAATATGAAAACATGCAGCAGTCATCCCAAAACTAACTACAATAGTGGAGTCCAAAAATAAAAATAAAAGAAAAATGATGAATAATTTATCATTTTGTAAATGATATTTAACTACTCGTGTGAGAATAAAATATGTCAGCCTGATTGCTTGTAATAACAACTATATAAGTCCTACGCGTTATGTAATGTTTTTTTTTATTGAACAGACATCATAAGTACAACAAAAAAAAAAAATTGCTCATTACAATGTATAGAACAATATGTGATCGTTATGTTATTATTATTATTTTTTTTTTTTGTTAATACAAATAATACCTAAGATAGGTTATGTTGTATGAGGGTTAACTTGGTATTATTGGTTATTTTAGGTAGAAAGCGTAAAAAGGGAAAAAACAAAAACCACACAAAGTAAAACGTTCAACAGCACAGAAAATACGAAAGAAAAATAAACCCACTGCCGATTAAAAACCAAGAGGAAAATACATTTTTATTAAATAGACATTATAGATAGATATATAATACATATATCCATATATTGTATACGTCAGATACACACATAAATAAATATATATATACCTATATATGTATATATCAAATATATATAAATAAACAATATTTGTTAACTATAGAAAACCAGCTAAAAAATTAATCAAAAAGGCATCAATTCGTAGACAAACAAGAAATTTGATTTAAGGAGAATTTGAACGTACTTGCCCGTCCGACCATTTGTATAGCGCGAACGCCTTTCCGGAATGTCGCCACTGTGTTAAAATTAGAAAAAAAAACAAACAAAAATTGAAAACGTGAAAATTATTGTGTTTTATTGTCATTTATACGCTACTGAAAAAACGTTTTATTAGTTTCAGTCCAAATACACACAAAACAATCTCACATTTTTAGTCACGTTTATAAAAAAACCGGAAAACCTAATTTAGTAAAAGAATAATAAATTTATATAATTTTAGTTAAATCGTTAATAATTATTAAAAAAAGGAACTTAATTCAATATTCCAACATTAGAATTCTAATAGACATTCGTACAAGGTACACACACTCATACTCACGAACAAGGACCGGAGGTTGATCACATTGACTTAATCGATTATGTCTTCAAATTTCAAAACATTTATTTTAAACACTCAAATTTATTAGTATTTATAACGAAATTAAAAATATTATTTAGGAAAAGTTTTCAAATACAAATCAGATAAATATTAATATATTATTAATATTGCAGGTTTGTATAAACAATACAAATTTACGATTTTGCTTGTATTATTATTAACTTTAACAGAATATAATTAGTGATTCAAGTTGCATTGCAACGGTTTATACAATTAATTTACATTTGGGTGTATATCATTTAAGTATACTAGGTACTACTTTTCAATAGAAATAATTATAATATATGTGTTATTTTTTTTTTGGAGTGTTTATTGTTATATACAGTACATTGGTAAATATTACCTTATACGGGTAAAACCATTTATATATATTTTATTAAATAGGTAAAATCAAAATACATATTACATTAAGAAAAAAAATGATCTTGGATAAATTAAATAATAAAAACGTGTTATAATAATAATTTAGTTATATTTAGTTATATATTTTAGTTAATATCTACATTCCGAACAATGAACATTATATATAATGTAGTTTCACTTATATACAGATATGATGATTATGCGTAGTCAAAAAATAGATGACCTTAAAGAATTATCTATTTACAAAAGTCTCAACAAAATTCAACCCTAGGTGTAAGGGGACTTATTTATTAAATGATGAAAAATAATTAGAATAAAAATATATTATAAAATATTAAAAATGTCTATGTGTAGAGCACACTTCATATTTTTGGTAATCAAATAACAGCCACTTGACTCAAGGGTATCGACTTCCGGACCTCATCTCAACGATTATTATTACGAATAATCAAAATTGCACAAAATTAATTCATAACCCAACAGTATTCGTTTGGTTACAAAAAAAAAAAACAATAATATTATAATATATACGGACGAGACGTTGTAATATTTGGTTAAAACATTATATTAAATTGTTATTGATCAGGTATTTATGGACGTATTCAGGCAAGCGGACTTCAAAACACAAACACATGTAACTTTTTATATTTTTTTGAAACTTTTATAAGTACCCTCGAAATTATAATTATGTGCCAACATTCCAGTCTCCATCATAATCATACCGACATCTGTAACATGGTGTCTCTCTCTATAATACTTGAACGTAATAGTAATAACATTTTATGTGAAAAAAAAAACATAACCAGCATAATATTGTTAACTTAATTATTGTTTAGGGTATTTTTTATGAGCACAAATCGTATAATATATTTTTACAACTGTATAAAATTATTATGTTTTTTTTTTTGGTTTTGAATTTCCGTTCAGAATATTTCAGATAATATTATCGTATTTTTATTTGATGATAATAATAACATGTGTTAAAAATGTAAACAAAAAACTATTACAGGTAGTGTAGTAGTCCTGTTGTTACATTACATGCAGCATATATTATTACATAGCTGTGTAATGGAAGAAAAAAAAATTCTACGATATGTATAAAAATAAATAAAATATAAAGCTGCTTAAGCTCGTAAAACGTGTGATCGTCGTGAGCGGTAGTCAGGTGGTGGACAAAAAAAAAATAAAAATAATATGTATGTATGTGGCTTATATTTAATATATTATATACACAACGTACAATATACATGTATACAATATTGTATACATTTACATTGTATATTTATGTAGAATTTAGATGTATTACATATATATATAATTATACATAATATAATATATATATACATGTATCGTTAAACAAAATATAATAATGTGTGTATACATTTCGTTCTACTTTGGAGTGCAAATGGGCAAAGGTGTTTTCGTTTCGTATTGAAAAACAAGTCGATTTAATATGCGCCCGAACTTAAAGCCTTAATACACATAACAATACTGGTCGTAATTGTATGGGCACGTGGTTCGAATTTTAGAATTTAATAAGTTTATATATTGCATTGTTCCGACGCACAGTAAATCGGTCTACAGCGGTGGGATATGGGCGGGCTAGACAAAAAACAAAAACCAAAAATATGAAAGAATGAAAAAATATGTGTTTTTTTTTTTGTTTATTTGCAGGGTTGCATTAATAAATATATATAAATATATATACGAATATATCTATATAAATATATGTATGAAAATATGGGTAGGTATGCGAGAATAGAGGTATGACAATAACAATCATTTAAGTCGCACAAAAATAAAAGAAATAGTACAGACACTTTATACTTAGGTACATATATATAGATTTGTCGACCAGTGCATTTGAAGATTCACATACACAATAGGGCTGTAAAAGAAAATTATAGCGAATGATACTCACAGTTTTTGCACTTGCACTTCTTGATCAGCGTTTCGTCTCTAATTTCTTCGTGACATGCCTTACAGTAATACCAAGCCCTAAACGCACATAAATAATAAATGAAAAAATTATACTATACACAAACACGCAGTATTTTAAATAATTATTTGTTACTCATATTTTTTTTCTTCAAATTATGTTCTACCACTATTTAATATTATAATACGCTTTGGGAGTAGTTGGTACGCCGCCATTTTGTCAACGAGTAATACAATTATCGCATGCATTGACAAGTATAAGTATTATTCTTTAATAATATGAAATTCAAAATTTCCATTGAAGATTTAATACTATAAAATAAAGTGAACTTTATATGTAATTTCAAGGACCACTGTGTATTACGATGATGTATATTAATGAAGTCGACTCTTGAAATTTGAGACCGAACTTGAGTACCTAATTTTAATTTTCAATATTTTAATCAACTTGCAGCACGAACACAAGTTTTTACTGTCGTTAATAATTACTATGGAACAAACAATTATAAGTAGAAACATTTGATGTTTTTTTTTAATTTCCGCCTTAATAATGAACGTTTTTTTCTAAACTCTTAATTGATTTCAAATTATTTATTAGTTATCAATAAATATATAAAACACCGAAATCAACGACGTTACAACGAAATGTTGACATCGGTATTTATTCTAGAATTAATGTGGTTTTACAAAATATTGTGTCCTCTCACGAGACTGATTAGTGATGACGAGTACCTTAAGGTATCACGTTTAAATGATTTCAAAAACAAATAATGGCAAGCCAGTTGACGAAAAAAATTAGTAACTCAATACAAATTGCTTATGATTGATGCTCAGAGCGCTTCGGCACGCCTAGCAATGAATCGTACAAACCTTTTGACTTCGTCGGCCGACTGAGCGATGAAGAACCCCTGGGTGCTCGCTTGTATCTTGGAACCTCTGGGGTTTATTGATATCTTGCTGTCCCGTCCATCCTCGCCTTTTATTTCTATGGCCAACAGCAGAAGTTTCAGCTTCGTGAAGCACAACCTGCACGTTATAACACGGAGGAGCATTAGACGAGTTTTTTTGGAATCGTAAAGAATCGTATGTGATTATTAAGTATATATATATTTTTTTTTTGGTCGGAATGTGTGTCGGCTGTTGAAAAATAAAAATGAAAACTTATCATGCGCAAACCACACTAATACAAGCACATACGACGACGATACAAAATAACTATTATGCACCATGCATTCATGCCATATTTTTAATAAGCTTTCGATAAAGAAAAAGAATAAGCCATTTTTGTACATGCTGATTAATGTTTTCATCATGGGGTTCTTGACCGATTTCTATATAGTTATAATTATAATGATAACTAAAAAGTTTATAACAATAATATATTATATTATATCCATCGAAATATTAATTTATCTATCATGCTGGGTTGTCTATAGCTGTTGACCTCACATATACGGATACCCTTCATTAGGGTCGAAAGTCTTAATCGTGACTTTATAAATATATTCATGTATATATATATATATATATGTAATGTATAATATAAATATTATAATCAAAAAATTGTCGGAGGTAATCAGCTAACCCGTAAAAACTATATTAGTGTTAAGAATATTAAAAAAAAATTTATAAAAACTAACGACGAATGAATTTTATTATTATATATACTTATATGTATATTGAGTATGTAAAACAACTAAATGAATCGTATTAGTAATTAGGTATAAGTATACGAGTAATTTAAGTAGCGTGTGGATCAATGTTTAAACGCGATATTACCAATAATAATAAATTCAGTTGTTTGTATCGATAAATCGTTGACATTTTTCATTTTCTTTCAACGAATATCAAAAAAAAATGATATTTTGATGTGAGTGTGGTAAATTATTTTAATGATAATTATAGAATGAGTGAAATATTTGTATATTTTTACAAAAAATTAAACATAATCAAAAAATTGTCAGAACTAAAATCAGTAAAAAAATAATTATGATAGGTAATTGTATAATATAATATTGTTTAATAATTATTGTCTATATTTACCACAATATTGTTTTATAAATTATAGTGTACGGCTGGAATAATAATATTAATTGTTTTGGCTAAATATTCTAAAGTAAATTGTTATAAATATTAACTATTTTTTTTCACATGCAAATACCGTGCTCAAAATACACGTACACGATATACGTAACATGTATTTATAATAGGGTTTTTAATTCCATTGACACATATAAATATATAAACATATAGGGTAATTCACCAATAATGCTCACCTCATATTTTATCCTTTAACAAATACAATATTTATAGATACTTAGGTTTGTATACTATTTTATGAGCACCCTGTATATAAGCTAATTTTTATCAAATGAGACCTACCCTTATTTACTGTGGATTGTTAGGTCGATTATTTCATTGACAATGTTGTTACATTTCATTTAAAATTTGAACAAGTAGTTTTTGTGTTTTTGTGTAATTGACCTTTTTATACTCCGTATAACAATCATTTGATTAGAGAAGTTTTACATAAAATATAAAAAATATTAAATAACATTTAGTCGAGTACTGATTATACTCGCCAATTATTACAATCATAAAATTTTAACACATAATATAGCACGTAAAATAAATATCGTATAAAAAATATACTTATATTAATATTAAATACTATTTTTAAATCATCATAGTCCCCATATCTCAAAATCTATTAAATTAAAAAAAATTATAATCTCCTTAGCAATAAAAAAAGTATGATTCTCATTTGAAGAAAACAAGTTTTTATGGTCACAGGTCACTATTATACTCATTAAATGGCCTGCTAATTATCAAGAGTTTGAAAATATGATCTTTCTTAATTTTACATACTAAAAATACAAACTGTCAGTGATTTAATCAATTTAATATCAAAGAACCAAATTATTGGGTGAGCATACTTGATGAATCACCATAGCCTATATAGAATAAAAATCTAACAAGACTACTGGCAGCAGAACTACCAACATCATGCTTCGTTACATTGAAAAGTAAAGAATAAAAAAATTGAAAAATGTTTTGGACTTTTCATAACCTGGGTATTTCACGTCATACATAATACGAGTATTATATATCACATATTATTTTAAGTAACAATTTTCACCACACGCTACTGACACACCGGACGCGGTATTAGTGGCTGGATACACGGTTCGCGAAACAAATATAATTACGTATATAATATTCGAATGGTAAAAGAATAGCTTTTCATTGTATAGACGATGAATTTTACCACTTGCTTGTTTGCGAACAAATAAAACGACAACCGAATATAGAAACAATTAGGTTGATGTCCACGGTTCATGGGGCAGAAAATTCCCTGTTGAGCTACCTACATACAATAATGAATAAGATTTGCTTGGACTCAATGTGTTCATTTTCAAAGACTCATTTATTTCTAATTTTGAATAAGCTTAAAAAAATGTAGATATGTTGCATAGACGAAATATTATAACTAGGAAATAATTCTATATGAGGAATAGACAGTTCAGTTTGTTTTGTTTTGTGCTGAAAATATGTCCACGATGTGGTAGTATCCGGAAGTACAATGATATAATACTATATTATAATTATAACAATACATTTTGTGGGTACGGGAAATGGCGAAGGTATAATGAAATTATGTATAATAGCAGCGATGGGGATACAGTCCACGTTTTTTGGGCAGGTAGTAAAATGTGCGGTAAGGGGGGGGGGGGGGGGTTGATCGTAAGTTATTTTTTCAGGTGAAATATTTACGGACAACACAACAAAATTTAGAACAAAAGAATGAGTACCAAGGCATCGGTGATGAAATCGTATTTCCACACATCGTATACTACTCGTATTATTATCGTGTACCAACTACCTACACGTACTTTTAATTACTACCCGTGCATTGTCATGCTTGCGTACCTACAGCGTCGGTCTGGGAAACGATAAAAAAAAATTCCGTTGGCGAAACGAACTTGAAATTACCATTTTAAATATTAACCCTAACGATAACCCGTTAAACCCCAATCACGTCCTCCGGGACGGAGCTGGTCGTATAGTTGTATTTTCACGAACGGCGGCATTTCGAGTGGAAGCCATAAAAAAAAAAAATGCCGACCAATGGGATTTTCGCGCGTCTTGAAAATTTAAACGAAAAATAAAAACCACTCGCCCGATCTTTTCACATATAGGTACATTGCAGTATGAACGCTATTGCACGCCCCACCAAGATTCACGTCCTTATACCCTTTTCCTGTTGTTTTCGCCCTTATACTGTACACTATCGTCGGTATACCGCATCCGTACATGTTGTTACAATGCACCACACTTAGGTGGGCACCAAAATTTAATGCAAAAATTGTTTGATTCGGAACTGCGTCCAACCGATACCGCGTCCAATTTAATAAATAATATTTAACTATATGTAATGTATTATAATATAGTATAATATAACTAACATCTAATCCAGTGTTTCCCAACCTATGAGTCGCAGTTTTCATCTGACCGGTCGTAAAGGTATAGCCAGATTGAAACATTGAATTATATAATTATACTATACATAGTACCTATTACAGTATAACGATACAACTGGAATTTTTTTTTAATGTGTCACCTGGCAGAAGAAGAGTCTAACAGCGGGTGGCCTTATACCAAACTATTGGGAAACACTGGTCTAACCTACTGAAATAATAATGATAAATACTATACAACAAAAAATATATATATTTATAAAATATTCGTTATAATAAACGTTAATATATTATTATGTATTGTTATTATGTTCAGACAAAATAAAAAACAGCTCTGTAGGGAATCTAAGATAAAGAATTTACATATATTGTATGGAGTTAAGTAGGTATGTGTTATGTAATATGTGTATTGTATAATGTTTATGTATACACGTGGTGATCCAATTAATTACTGACTACATTCGTTCTCCCAAGTCAATTAATGTAACTTTGAAAATAAAAATAAAATTACTTTAGTAAGTACTGTATTTCAAAAATAATAGTTTTTAAGATTTTTATTTTAATATGCAGAATATATATTTTAAAATCTAAATATTGACAAATATATATTTAGGTGCGTCATATTAATAACAGTTTATTTTGAACAAAGATACCTAATAATGGAACATAATTTTTGAAGATATCCCTTAACATTTCACTAAGCACATTAATTATTAATAAAAATAACTTCCGTTCAATTTAGTTAAACATCAAAATGTTTTTGAATTTTTTAAAAATTGTATGATAACTATTTACTGGTCGTAAAATTAAAAATAAAGATTGTTGTTAAAAAATTTAATTAAAATCACTTCGATAATAGTATATAATATATATTAAGAAAATGTTTTTCACAAACACTTGAGACATTAAGGAACAATTTTTTTGTTCATACTAAAAAAAACTATCTTCGAAAATTATTGTGGCCAGTTAAATGGATCAGCCCGTCTGTCATATTATATGGGATAACGGAAAATATGTAGTGGGAGCTTTAGAGATGTGTGTATGTTTGTGAGTGTATGGTATAGTGTGTGTGTGTGTTTATGTATATGTGTATGTGTGTATGTGTGTGCGAATGGGTGTATGTGTGGCACTAGGAGGGACTTACTCGCTGGCCTGCGGAAACGTCATGCCGGTGAATGACGGGGACAGGGTCTCCGTATACATCTCGCAGCCGGTGCCCTGCAGATAGTCGTTCTGCCACGCTTGCGTATCCGGAGACTGAAATACACCAAACTCCACACTCTTCACAGGAACTATACACGGTATCAAACGCTCTATCACATCTCTACTCTACATCACATTCATCGGGTCGCAGACCGAAAATAAAAAAAAATGATAGAAAAAAAAACAAACAAACAAAATCAAAATCAAAAAAATCGTAGGTATAACAAAAAAATTTAAAAAAAGGTAGAAAATAAAACAAATTATATAAATCATATCATAACAATAATAATGTAAACAAAAGGTGTAGGATAAAAACATTTCCGGAGTTGGGTATGTTATGTTGTAATGTATTATTACAATTTATTATTTTATGACCAACGACTTGATCTGAATAATTACAAAACGTTATTTTTTCATTTTTTGGCGGAACATAAAATGTTTATTACTTAAGTAACTTTAATAATTGCAAAAAATATTCGTAGCTATATTGTGTTGATCGACACTGATTTTAAATAATTTTATCTCATTACCTCGAATATTTATAATTATTTTTGATGGTTTTTAGAGGTTTGACATAGGCCATTAAAATAATATAATTAGTGTGAACTCGTGAGTTTTTTGAAGTGGGTAAATAATAATTTTCCAGATTTTGGTCCAAAATAAAAGAAATGTTCATAACAATATTAGATAACACAACCTATGCAAGAAAATATCCCTGCGCATTCGTATATTGGAATAATATAACAAACACGTTTGAGTCACGTCGCCATAATATTATTACTATCATGAATTTCACGGAATACACGTGCTATAAAAGTCGAAAAATAATGTTTTCCTGCTTGGCCTATCTCGCATCGGAAACTTTGTATCAATATAAAACGTATAAAACACCCACAAGCGGATTTAAAATTTTCCACAGTTACGTCGGAGTTTTCTTATAAATATAATATTACCGAACGCAATGCTGATGTTGAATAATATTATTTATTCGGCCGAACGTAAAACGATAGTGTGTTTCTAGTCCAGTAAACCTATCGTTCGTACGGAATTCACAGTACAGTGGAAAATTGAACGGCCCTTCTATTCGTGGCTACTACTTTTAGTACGAATATAATATAATATGGAGTAGTTGGGTATATGATAGCATTATACGCGTCATACAAATACCATGTGATGGTGAAATGGGTATGATTATAGAGGTTTTGGACGTAAGACAAAATGATAAGTGAAATAATAATTATAAAAAAAAACAAACAATTATAAATTAATAAAAAACAATCATATAAAAAAATAAAAATAAAAAATAAACAAAATCGAGAGGAACTGTCATGTATACGATGTGCTTCGAGTTTTGATTACGATAATATTATATAATATACTAAAATCTATAGATACACATATTATATTATCTACACTCTACTGAGTACAATCTATTATGATATAAATATATATATATATTAATATATGTTTTGCGTTATGCCGTTCGATTCGTAAAAAAACTATAAACATTCAATCGTAGGTACCTATTTACAACTCATTACCTATATTGTATACACGCGCGCGTTACATAGACTGTTTTGAATATTATACATATTTTTCCTTTCATTTTGTTCTTATCAAACTCAAAAAATGTTTAAGTGATCACGAATATCCACCATGATAAAAAATAAAAAATCAAGACGTGAAACCGTCCACCATATCAGACGTAAAAAATGACAAGCCAACGTACGCGCATACGTGTGGCGTTTACGACGCGCGTACGTACGTGCAATAATAATAATAATAATAATAATAATGATAATAGTAAAAAATATTATAAGACAACAACAACAACAACAATAATAATAATAATAATAATAATAATAATTTATTATAAATTTGCAAGCTGTATTCATTTTTTTTTTTTTTGAACGACTCGCAAAACAGCAGTGTTTTTTGCGCGTTACTTTTTTTGCAAAACGGGTCTGTTTACCCTGGTTTTTCAGCTGCGTGTCAAGACGAAAAAAAGAGCCAAAAGCGGATCCAACCTTAAGTCGCTTTTAGTTATTATTATTTTTTGCTTTCGTTCGTATCACGTACTCAAAATCAAAGACATAATTTCATAAATTTATAAAAAATTACAAAAAAGAAAACAACATTCAAAGGGTCTCTACTCAAACACAGATCCAACCACCATCATAATATAATATTATAATGGGTGACAACGACATGAACTACACGATGCCCGCTAAGTGCTGCAACGAATCTAGGTGTAAGAATATCCAATCAAATAATACTTGGGTAATGATATCTGGGGAAAATAAATCCAAGGTACAAAAATTAGGGTTAAAAAAATATGCTTAGGATGGGTAAAATACCAATAACATTTTGAAAATAATAATCCGTATTATTCATGCTGTTGCTTGTAAAAAAAAAATAAACAATTTATCTGACATTTTATGAATGGTTTTTGAAAATTGCTTAATGACATATTATAAACTCAATCGCCAAAAAACCTTACATGATACAGAACTACTAACTTTCATTTGTCGCTATACTTTTTTTGGGTAAGTTTTATTCCTCAGTTATATTTTCCCCGAATATTTGACTGGATACTGCTGCACGTATTCGTGCACACTCACACGTCATTGATTTTAATAAATCCTAATCGTACAGAATAATCAGATTGTTCTATTGTAGTTAACAACGAGTATTAAAACAACTTAAAAGTCCGTATTACTGCAATTATCGAGAATATTATCAGTGTTTAGTTGTAGCATATTTAGTATATGTATTATTTTTAGAGAAATATTTGTTGTAGTAGTAATGTTAACATGCCTATATATTATAATAATACAAAGTGTATGTGTTAAGCACTTACACACAGTGTTGGGTAAATTACTTTTAAAAAACCATACAATTACATTACCCGCTACCCACTACATTAAATATATATTTTATTTAAATTACTTTTACGTCACATACAATTTTAATCAGGTCACATTACTTTATCATTTAAAATGTAGGGCGTTACAAAGGACTTCACTTACATTTTTTTTTACGATGTAAAAACACACTTAAAATTTGAAGGTAAAAAAAACTGAAAAATTATCTTTTTTAAATGAATCAAAAAAAAGTTTAAGTATAAACTTAACACCTACTCGCACCCAACTTTCCTGATCATCTTCATATATTTGTCATACACCCATACCAACTACCTATTATTAAATAATGTGGGATATAATGAGTAAGTAATAATAAGTAATAATAATAATAATAAGTCCATGGAAATTTAATTTTAAAAATAATTTTCCTACTTACCGTGGTAATTGAAATACAATTACAACTGCGTTATTAAAAACTTTATTTTCGGTAATTAAAATTTGAAAGTACCCAGCACTGCGTGTACAAAACTATTATGGTATACCGTGGTTCAAGTCGAGCCCCTTTGAACGCCAATATAATATAAAATATTATTTAAATATAATATAGCGACGTTGAACGAACAGTAGTGTTTCATAAAATATCATAATATGCTGCAGATCGTAGATATTACGTCTAATATTAGAGGCGCACGAAAAAAATAAAAATAAAATAATAAAATAACACGTGGGCATAACAACAGACTTGAGATGCACAAAATCATGTACAATTTCCGAAGGATAAAAATTTAAAAAAATAAATTTAAAAAAACAACAAAAACAACAACAACAGTATCGGCCGCCGGTACAACATTTTGGACACGTTATTTAAGTCCACTTACTCAGTGGCATGCGCAAACGGCATGCCAATGAATGTCGGGCTCAGCGTTTCGGTATACATCTCCATGCCGGTACCGCGCAGATAGTCGTTCTGCCACGTTTGTATAGCATCCGGTGCCACGACGCACCTCGTGTTCTGCTAACAGACATCGTCTAACACGCTTATTCACCACAACCGATAAATTGGGTTCAATTTTTTTTTTTTTTTTTGATTTAATATGATTAGGTTGGTTTTTAAAATAGTTGATAACACACGCACAGAAACGTACAAACACACAGGAGAAAACACCAAAAGTACTTAATAGTGTCAGTGCAGGTATAATATTATTATTATGTTATTATAACGAATACATAACTTTTATTATTTTAATAATAATGATAGGTACAGGTATGCAAGACGGAATGACGATCGCATGGTTCGAGTCCTCAGAAGTCAGAATTTAACGGGTCGAAAACATATTATTGTTGTTTTATATTATGCATATGAATCGATAAAGTGAATGGCAAACAATACACTATAATCAAAATTACAACGTTTTCTTTTCCGTTTGGTATTTCTTTAAAAAATGTTTTGTTTACATTTGGTTTCGCCTCTCTGGATGGATGTGAGCGCGTGCGCGCGACAAGAGTTAGAGAAGTGTTTTCTAATAAGCTCAAGCGTACTGGTTTAGAATGACTCACCGTTTTGAACGACCTCATGGCGAACAAATTCGCCATCATTGTGGAAAAGCCTGGTGCTAGACAACTCTGCGCAATGAAACCAAGTTTCAACTCCGCTAAGCAGATCACGTCGTCTCCTTGTTTCCAGTCCCACGACGGAATGTTGAGTAAATACGCCTGTCGGTCAAATTCAAAACACAATTTTTTTAATGGAAGCATCGACCAAACCCGATGACAGGTGCAATGCGTAAATCATAAAGATAAAAAAAAACTACCTATCCTTAATAGGACCGTGAAAATATAAACTTCGAATAAAACTGTTGTAAACCACAGTAACAATTTGTAACCTTGTTTTCAAGAAATCAAGACACAGAATTTGTTTTCTAGACCCTATCTTACTGGCCAAAACGGTTCACATATATCGCATCTATTTTCATTTGTTCGTTAGCCGAATAGGTTCCAGTTTGATCAAGAATTTGTTAGTTTATAATGATTAGATAAAATAAGTTTTCTCATCCCAATATTTTGGGTTTAAAGAAAAACAAATCTCACAAAACCGTTAGATCTCAATAGCAGCTTATACTTTAAGTGACCCGAATAATATTTAATTCAAAATAATTGTATTGTGTGGCGCATACGTACTTTGTTGTGATACTGCATGAGTTGTATAATGACCCTTATGTCGTCCGAGTAATTTTTGATAGAAATGACCCTCATTATGTTCGCAGCGTCTTCGGCGTCCGGGTCCTGGCAGTACTTGTTCGCCAACACCAGACAGGCATCAGCCTCGTGGACCTGAAACGTCATTACCGGCGTTTTACACTGATCATCTGGTTCCATGAACATATTGTATAATATTAAACAGATTAAATCAACAGCAACAACATTGTTCTCGTATATCGAATATAAAAATTACTTTTCGTTTAACTTGTGTACGTTAAACACTAAAGCTCATTTTCCAAAAAATAGTATAATAATATTATTTAATACTATGATGAGTTCAGCTACAATTATCACACACGCATGCACTAGGTTATTAATATTATATACGTACACAAATACACATACACAATACACATAAATACCATGCTGACGACAACGGACGACCATGATTGCGGTAAAATAATATGTCTACAGCACTACACGACGCGTATTATTAACATTATTATTATTATTATTATTATTATTATTATTATCATCATTATTATTATTATTATTATTATTATTATTATTATCATCATCATAATATGGTTTATAGGTAAACAATAAATATTATTAAATTTTTGACGCAATGCGTTAGTGTAGAACATGATTTTACTAAAACGTGTATGAGTGAAGAGTATAATAATATCATAATATACCGCGTGTGAGAGACAATATTTTACACTACTGTGTAACGAATACATTATTATAATATATTACCATATGTGTACAAATAATACAGCTAACTATGCGATGATTGTATGATTATATTATTATATTATAATATTATGTATATTGAATAATATAATAATATAGAATATTATAATTCAATGTTGATGAAATGAAATGATGCGTTTTATATCTGGGCAGTGAAAATGTCTTATTTTGTTGAGTACAGTATGTAAGGTAGGTAGTAAGGTTCGGTTTGTTGTTGACGGTTATCGTACATGTTTTTTTTTCTTCTCAATAGAATACAATCTATAAAAGCATGCGCCGTTAAAACGAATTTTTGAAAAACATCGTACTTATAAACAAAAACAAAAACGAAAACAAAAAATCATAAAAATCACAGTCGTTGTTTAGTGTTAAATATTATATAAACAGTTCGGTTCGTTTGATTATTTCGAGCCACTTGAGCATCGTGTAAAATGTCCGTAAGTTAATAATATATATATACATATACACTTATATACATCGATTATTGTATATATTATGTATAAATATTATGTATATATAAGTATATATGTGTACATATTTAATATTATGTAAATATTTATTTAAATCACAAAAATCCATCACCAGCGTCATACCAATCCAAAAATTGCAACCGTCATTCAATTTGTGCTAAAGCCATTTGTTTGGACATACCTTTACCCTTTGCAAATCAATAGGGTTCATTATAGAACCTTGGAAGAACTCGACAGTGGTAAAATGTCGCTTGAAAAGTCCTTCCAGTTCCAGGTCAGGTGGCTTCCTACGGTTTGGAAAATACCAAAAATAACTAAATTGAAGCACAACTAATACTGACATGTCTTCTATATATTGCACACTGTATCGTAATTATTTATAATATAATATCATATAAATCAAGTATCAACAATATAAAATCTATGGTTCAGAAATCCGTTCAAAGTATCTAACTAGTCACTAGGTGGTAAAAATAGGTACAATAATTTAATCAATAAACGGCTATATAAACGCTATATAAGTAATAACTCTTATTATTTCTTTTTTTTCGTTATGTTATAATAGCAGCTTTAAACGGGGTTTTTATGCTTTTGGCAGTTTGAACCTGCACACATATATAATATACATCTACATATATATATTATAGGGACAGTGTATCGATTTCAGAATTAACACTTCTCCAATACTAAACTACTTTCCTTTTATATATATTATATATAGGTGTAAAACAAAAAACTCATCTACCTGGTTCAAATAATAATAATAATAATAATAAAAAAAAAAAAAAACATTACCATCGTCAAGGTCTGTTCAAGTTCCCGTCCTAAGTGTTTAGTATTTGTATTTATATATAAGTATATATATATATGGGTGTATATATATAAATATATAATAAATGACAGCTAAATACATGGTTCAAAGCAAAATACATTAACTCTTTACAGTTTCAACGGCTTTGTTATAGCCTATACTAATATGTAAATACTGTTTGATCAAGAGGCTTAACAAATCTAAATGACGATATTAGTTAATGTTTGGTGTAAATAAATAAAGGAATATTATTTAAAACAAAATTTATGAATAATAATATAATATACGTATCTATATAATATATATATATATACATATATATATATAAATATTTTACATATATATACATGTATGCATATGTATTATATAGTGTACATATATTATATACGAGGTAATTTTTTAAAAGTTAAACACTAATTTTCTCAAGAATTATCAATGTTTTTGGAAATTATTTTTATTTAAATAATTAGAAGTCTACAAAACAAAATTTTTTACTTTATTTTATCATTATTATCTTTCAATATTTTCTTTTTTGGACGACTGCACATATTTTCATTTTCTTATCCCGAAACAGAATATGTATCTAAGAATTTCAATACATAAAAATTCAAATTCAAAATAGTAGTTAATTAGTTATAAGTATTTTCAGTTAAGTGGAGAAGTTGAACAACAGTTACGAGGTACCTACAGCAACATTCAACTTGTTAAAACTTTAAATACTTATAAATAATGAACAACTGGTTCAAAATTTAATTTTTAAATGTCAAAATTCTCAGAAAAAAATTGTGTTTCTCAATACGATATTAGGTACCTATGCTGTCATTCAAAGACATACAAACTTTAAATATGATAACGATAAAAAAAAGTAAAAATATAATTTTTTATCAAAAATGTTGTTTTATAATAACTTCGAATTGTGTAAAAATAAAATTCCAAATCTATTAATACAGTAGTGTTAGACTTTAAGAAAATCAACTTATATATAATATAATACCAATACACAATATATTATTATAATCTATCTCTAGAACTAATAAGAATTGTTTCTATTTCGTATCAGACTACATGTAGCTGTTATAATAATAATAATAATATTGATCTATGTATGGAAACTGAGCACAAATCGATAAGAAAAAACGTCGACAGTAAGAATCAGGATGAGAGTGGGTATTTACCTTCACCCTCTCTAGATCTACTGCGTTCATCATTGTACCCTGAAAAAACTCGACAGTGGTGTAGTGACGTTTGAGCAGCCCTTCCAATTCTAAATCTGGCTCTTTTCTGCAAATTACACACAACGTCGTACCTAATTTTTCGACTTAAAAACGTTTATATAGGTATATATTATAATGAAATACATATACATGATCATATAGTTCGGCAGTAAAGATCTAAAACGTGATTTCAACAGATATATTAATTGCGTCTAGTATTTTTTAACCATCGTTCATTATTGATTATTTATTACTTTGTCATAAAAGTTATTTTAAATAAATACATTATTATATTGAACTGTTTTGTCGTACCTGTGTAAGAATACCACTTCCACGTCTACGTCCTCTCTGTCTTCGTGTAAAAAATCTTTCAAAAAATGCGACACTGACTCGTAGGTAATGTGTCCGCAAACGACGATGTGCCTGTTTTTGTGGGAATAAAAACATATTAATGTATATATTTACATAATTCTAAGGTAAATTATAATAGTTATAATAAAAACTGATCAAAATAAAAATAAAATTGAAAAATATTGTATATGCACCGACGAGGGGCACTACGGTCAAACCCTAATAAAACAGTCAGGATGAGACTACGTAATAATATTATGTATGTAAGCATGATGATTGCTCGGGTGAAGTGCATTTTTGAAAAATAATCAATTAAAACAGGAAATAACAGGAAATAACTAAATCAAAAAGTACGAGTTTGTTAAATGTATATATAAATGTATCATGTGTTGTGTGATCGCTACGTTCAGTAGGGTTCACACAGCGTTTGAAAACAAATTAATAATATTATAGTAAATAATATGTCAAACTGCTTTAACACGGTTACATTTGTTTATGTAATTTCTGCCTAAAAATATAAATAAAGATATAAACAATAAAGTTATTGATACATTAATGTTTACTATTTTGCCATCGGTATAGTCACTACGGATTTAAGCGTGTTTACTGAATATGTTCAAGCTACATAATAATAATAATATAATAGTTTATATATTACAATCAGTGATATTTACATTAATATTAATATCTTTGGTCTAAAAATAGGGTTCAGGCAAAATTAATATTGTTACGTGCAGTTATTTATAAACAACAACAAAAATTAATATACATATACATATTATTATATGTATACGTTTTTTCTTCAAATTTAACCTATTCATTTGCGAATTTGTGTTAATTATGACGTTTCAGCCACACAACAGTTGAATTACATTTAATTTAGCAACTCGGCACGGTAGCTAAAGTTGCAAGGTAATCCGTAATCAGTGTATGCATCGTACTTGGATCGTACAACATCCTTATCAGGTACTATCCGTGTACTATACGTGGATAATGTAAAACGATCATGTATCATATTAAATATAAATAATATCATGTTGTGATGACAAAGAAGAAAATTATTTTAGAATATAGAAAAACGTGCTTTAGTTTAATTGACGCTGAATATCGTAGGCCTATAAATCCGTAGAAAAATATTGTTCAAAGCTTGAAGCTTATTAAAAATAAAAAAAATAAAAAAAAATAAAGTACTTAATATTATATAAAGGTGTATAAATGCTAATAATATATATATATATATGTATGGTATGTAAAATATTACCTCCTTCCACGTTCATTCTTCAGGGTTCCTCCATATTTTGGTCTAGTTCCGATCAGGTCAATTATCTCGGGTATACAACTCGCAAAAATCGCCTAAGGAACCCCAAATCATTCAAGGATAGTTCAAAATTTCAAGAAACATACATGAGAAAATTGCGCCACGTTATAATTATTATTAGAACGTATATTATTATCACATAAGAACCTATTCGATTTTTATTTTTGTGGTGTTTGTGTGAATGTTTACATTCGCCTGTGCTAGTGTATATATTATTATGTATTTATGTGTATATATAAGAATATGTGTCAGTGTGTGTGTGTAATTTTTGTGATTTTTGACAGCATTAGACGAGTGCACGATGACAGTCAGACGCACACTGAACGAAATGAGAACGGTTAATCGGAAGCATTCGGGTAGGATCGTTAATGTTCCGTTCAGTATGCATCTGTTAGTACCAAAATAAAGCCCGTATTTTATAATTATATTTTAATTTGTTTTTAATTTTTCTTTTTTTTTTTTGAGATCATATTGTCAGTTTTTACCGCCAATAATAATACCCTACAATTATTGTATTTTCGAAATTAAAAAACAAAAATAATAAAAAAAACGTACATTTAAAAAATAATTTTAATTAATTTATTTAAGGAATAAAATACCTAAAGAGAGCACACCTAAAGAAACGTGGCTTGTTAGCGATCAGCAGTAACACTTTGTTAGGTATTTACGTAAAAACAACTATAATACATCGTAATTTGAAATTATTTCTATACATTTTGATATAATTTCAATAAATTCACGCTTTCAAAACCTTACGAAATATTTTAGTCTTGTTAAAAAAACGGTTACATTCCAAAAAAAATTATTCATGCTTTATTATTATTTATTTTTTGTAATAGCTATTCTATCCTAGTTTTTGGTTAAATCATGTGAGTGTATAATTATTATTGTTATGATTCATTCGGAAATCTACCAACGAGCCAATGTTTCTTGGTGTACAAACAAAATAAAATGCAAAAAACAAAATATGAAACACACAACAACTCATAATAATGCACCTGCTATTTTAACATTTTGAGTTTGAAATAATAATAATAATAAAAATAATAAAATAAAAATAAAAAATAATAAAAAAATAATAAAAAATAAAACTGTGTGGCGGAAAAAACTGTTATCTCATTTTAGGCACCTTACTTTTGTCAGCGTCTTAAAAATACGAAATAAAATATAAAAAATTTAACTACCTTTATTGTTACTAGTAAAGCACCATTGCCCCTGTTTTTCTTTTAAAATCTATCTAGTTATCAAAATGTTTACTATTTTTTTTTTCATGACGAAAATAAAATATTTTAAAAATATATATCCGCGCCGAGTTGTTTAAAAACAAAATATAAACTTTCATTTTAATTTTCAAGTATCCAAAAAAATATTACAAAAATAATAATAAATAAATAAATAAATAAATAATTAGATAAATAAAATATATATGGTTAGATATTTTCTACATTTTTTCATGGCACGTAATATTCGAAAAAAATTAGATAATAATGCTTAAAAAAACAAAAATGTTATTCATGAGGAAAAGTAATATCCTATGACAATAATATATTGATATTATGTATATTATGTTTTTATTACTGACAAAACTAATGAAGCTATTAAGTGCGAATTCTACATGTATTGGGTTTGCAAAAAAATAGAAAATAAATAAATAATAATAATAATAATAATAATAATATAATAACGAATCTAACATCTAAATTTTAGATATTGTTTACTATATATATATATTCTAAGCTATTTTTTTTTTGACTATGTTAGGGAATATTTTGTTCATGCCACCAAGATAACTGATTTGGCTACGATGGTAGATGTCGCGTGATGTTTATGTGACAATGTATTTTCACGGCCTGGCTGAACAACAAACTAATATTATATTTTTAGCTTGAATCTCATATACACGTGACGATTTCACCTACGAGAACACAGATCAACATCTGTTTTTAAGTTTGGCCCTCAGAAAATCACATTTTATTCCGAAACGACCGTTACGACCGTGGCACGGCGGCAGCCGTTTCGGAAAATCCTTACCGCGCGTTTTACTATAATAATAGTAATAATAATTATCATAATAATAATAATACTAAGTATAATAGTTTTAGTAATAGTAATAGTGTTAGTAATAATAATAATAAAAATAGTTATTGTATAACAATAACATTTAATTAGCATTATTGTATTATCCACAGACCACGGAAATAATAAACGAATTTCCACAGGTTTAATTAATTTGGTCGTATATTTATTTTATATATTGCAAATAAAAACAACAATAATAGAAATCAAATAATAACAATTCGCATGGGTCGATTGTTTTATTGTTGTAGCAATTATTATTGTTGTAATCGTTTTAAAATACATAAAGCACGCTCCCGAATATTTAGTAAAGGTATACACACCATAATAATATTATTGTCAAACCGTTACACCCGATAGAGGGCGTTATTTTGGCATCGTAAATGGAAACACCCTACCGAGCCCTAGTTTTTTACACGATTGTCGTTAAAAAAAAATATATAAAATAAAACAAAAAAATACTTGTCCATTTAATTCGTATCGCAGAAATACTCCGTGAAAATACATTGTTTCCATTTTGCGTTATACTTCAAATTTAAAAAATGTATGTATATATATGTATAAAATTATAATATATAATGTAGCGTTAAGCGAACAAAATGCAATCTAATCGATCGTGAAAGACTAAAGGAAAATATTATTAACCCCATCGAAGCGTATAACAAATGCGGTCCGAGTTATTTCAGAAGATTACTTTTTTTTTGTAAATAACAAATTAAAAATAAATATATACTATAATATATAATATATATTTATATATTATATAAAATATATGTAATGTACGAAATACGAAAAAAAAAATAATAGTTCATTGGCGATTCTTGCCTTCGCCTTTCTCGCTTGTACTCCCCACCATATCGCTTCCTGTTGCCAGCGAGCTCGGTGATTTCGGGTATCCAGCTTGCCATCACAGCCTATCACCGTTCGGTTAACAATACAATATTAACATAATATTAAAAAAAACCCCAAACAAAAATAAAAACAAAACAAAACAAAAACCAACAAAAAGAGAAAAAAAAATAATAATAATAAAAAAAAACACTATATAACAAATCGTGTACATTTTTCTAAGATCGTGTGTGTGAGTGTATTTTATTATTTTTTTTTTTGCCCGTGGTCCATCCGATTACGTCAAAAACGAGGAATCATAATATTATCATCTATCGACTTGACCGATGTATTAATATGATATTATTATTGTAACAATCGTGCAGTCGACGTGATCGACGAAACAACGCGTTGACCGTCGTTCGGCGGATCGTATCGTCAGCGCCCCACGAAAAAAGTCATTAATATCTTTTAAACACGGTCGTGTTAAGTCTTTTGGCCCGTTCACGTCGTCAGACGATGTAGAATTTTGAGACACATGGAGAGAAAGCGAGAGACAGAAACAGAGAAGCCGAGAGGGAGATGGAGAATAATGGATTGGCGAAGAAATAAAGAAGATTATTTCCGACGTAACCGAAAGAACCGATTAATTATTATTATGCGTGTACATGGTAAGTATTGTATCGGCTAAACGTCAGGTCTACAACTAGTATAATAATATAGTATAGTATATAGCCAAATAACCATAAAACATTTAACATGAAAACGACATTGCAATCATTCATCAGTGACGCGCCGAAGACGTTTTGTCGTCGGTGTCGCCCCGGCTGTGGTACGGCGACCGCAGCAAACCCGGTGACCCATTTTTTTCTTTTTTTTTTTATAAAAGTTTAAAAGGTTAATCGCACGTGGAGTTATACAATAATATATTTAAACTTTGTTTGTTGCGTAAACAGACATAAAATTAATATATGATATAAATTATGATGTTATTGTTGTATAGGTAGAATATATTATATACCTAAAATTCGCGGTGTACATAAAAAACATTTTAATTGTATTAGCGTAGTTAGCATTCTATTAGTGCATCTCTACTTAGTAACCTATATTTCGTGAAAACTCATAGTTGGTACTTAGTTCATTTTGTATTACACACAAAACAATATTATGTGATAGCTGATAATCAAATCTTATTTGTGTATTAAAAAAATTATAATATATAATAACATAATAAATACATTTAAAAAATAAAGTTAACGACTCCAAATAATATATTATTACACTGCTCGTTGAAAGCAATATTAACAAGGTATTTGTTGGTAATACGATTTTGTTTTTGTGTTTATGTTCAATTATCAAAGTCACTTTGGAAAACGTGATTCTGATGATCTATACCTAGTACCTACACAGAGTAAAAGGTCATTGATGGCTATTATATTATTGTATAGTTATTGCATCAATAATTGCATTTAATTGTTTCTAACTATATATTAATTATTTACATTATAGCTGTACATTTCTAAAATCAAATCACACCAATGATAATAATTTAATAAAGATTCCCATTACAATTATATGATGTGTTACCTTTTATTGTATATTAGTCCACATTTTGTGTTATTACCTTAATGTTTTATGACCTTCGTATTTAACTATATATATGGTTCAAATACAGGGTTAATGCAGCAGACAAAAATCATATGGTGAGATAGAAAAATAAAATAAACAGGGCATAACCAAGAGTAAGAAAAAATTATAACATAAAATAAATTACATGCAAACAAAGGTTTTTTCATTATATTAATTGTATATGCAGAAAATGCAGGTCAATAGAAAATAATAAAAACGTCAAGAATAGTTATAATAATAATTATAATATTTTCAGTTAGTTAAGAAAAAAAATGAAACAAAAAACATGTTTAAAAAAACGGTCTTCTTTAAAAATGTAGGTCATTAGCAAACGCATGATGAAATTAAAAATAAAAATCATATAAAAAAAATCATCTAAATAGGTGGCAGACAAAATTAAAAAAATTTAATATGATATTATTATGGTTTCCATTTTACGTGTTTATATTGTATATACCTCTTTCCATGTTCATGTCTGAACTCTCCACCATACTTTGATCTAGTTCCTACGAGTTCTATAATTTCTGGTATGCTACTAGCAAATATTGCCTAAGTGATAATAAAACAAAATAGATATAAAAAAAATAAAATAATAATGAATGTATTTGTATTATAACAATAAATAATGTTAAAATTTGTAGTTTTCAATAATATATAAAATCTATATCATGATTAATAATGACAATAATGTACAAACTCGCCAAGCACACTAATATGCAATAATAAAAATATAATATATTCAACAACCATTGTATAACAACGACGTCATCGATTTAATATAAGTTATTATAGTAAGTATACTAATTATTGTGATGTACAATAATAACTTATTGTGAGTAAATATAATTAGTTATTACTTATAAGTTATAATATTATCCAGAACACTTATGAAAATTCTATATAAATAACGTATGCACGCACACAAACACGTAAGTGTACGACGCGCCACCCACGTGTGTGTGTGTGTGTGTTATAAATTTATAATATAATATATTTTATTACATATTATTATATTGTATTGTGGGTTTTTGTGGATGAATAACAAAAAATCGTCATTGAACCCTCCTAAATTATATCGTTCTACTATAATATAATAACAATAAAAATATGATCGAACAAATTCCATGCATTATTGTAATAATAATAATAATATGTAACATAGGAAAGTTATATTATTTCGTCAACTGCAATCGTGTTCTGCAATAAATGTAATCAAAAATAATTGATTCAGCGCGCCATAACCGCCCTCGGTATTATAAATGACCCCGCAGTCCATGCAAATCCAAAGCTTAACAGCGAGTATAAATTTAAACGAATATTATTGTGTAGCGAAATAGTTTAACGATATATGTTCAATAAGCTGCCAAGCATTTTAGCGGTTACCTTGACATGTCAATGTATATATTATATATATAACAACAATACAAAGCACCCAAAAAAAGAAAATGCCTCAAGTATATTATGTAAACGAAGCAAAACTATGTTAATAAAAAAAAAATACATATACATATTATTATGTATAGGTAATAAACTATGATTTAATATATTAAGTTTATTGGTCTGCATTATGAGCTATAATAACTATAGTGGATATTTGTATAGTGAAATTATTAATAATAATAATAATAATAAAAATAAAATAGTGTATGACCTTTTACTCCAATTTGTCTCTCAGAGGAGAATACCGTACGGGTGGGGAGGGTTAAACTGGAGCTTTTGTTGATGCTCATACTTTGTAATGCTAATGTGTGTGTAAAAAAAAATTAACAGCCAGCTTTTTTAGAGCTTTTAAAAAAAAAATAGTAATAATAAATCTAACTAAAAAATACGTGTATTATAGCGTTTTACCTGCTGAAAGCTTCTGCCACACAAAGATTATTCAATTATTCTTAGTTTAATAGTAAATCTTTGAGTATAAGTAAATATTATATGATTTTGTATTTAGCGCAAAGTAAAAATAAAATATATTTTTCACATATTTTTTTCTTATGATTGTAATGTATTATTTAGTGTGCGTAAAAATTCCATAACATACTGTTTAGTGATTTATAAAATAAAATGCATACATTTGTTTGTTGTATTTTTTTTTATTATTATCAATGCTAAATTCGAATATTATTTAAGCGAACTTAGACGAACAGCACTCATGCACCGCCAAAACATATAATAAGTAACAACGGTAGATAGTATTATAATTGTTTTTTTTTTAAAATTATTGTTGTTTAATTTTTTGGTACCTTTTATTTAATTATATCGTATATTTTATACTATTATTCGCAAATATTACGATATTATCGTCCCCGATTGTGCAGTATCCGATTGATTTAACCAAAGAATAACAACCTATTATATATATATAAATACATATATATATATATTATACGTCCCTATATTCACGTGGCACGTGACATTATATTTTACGTGATTCTACTATTACATTTATTTAACACTTAATGTAAACAAGAGGCAAAATATAAGAAATTAAAATATAATGTAATTAAAAAAGAAACATATCACTTACGAGGCCGACGAGTAGGAAAAATACTAGAAAAGTTCTGCCCAAAATAGTCTGGCAAAACACATCTCCGTATCCAACAGTAGACATGGTTACAATCAAAAAGTACACACAAGTCCAGTATGATAACCGTTGCTGGTTTTGGAACTCAAATGGATCTCCCGAGTTTTCCAGCTAAAATTTTCCAAATACCAATGTCCGTTTAGTAACAATTTTTGGGACCAAGGTCGTATCTAAGAAGTTGTTTGATATAGTGTGAGTCCAATCGCGCATTCACCATTTTTAGTATCGTAATCTAACTATATTTTTGTAAGTAAACCCACAATTCTCATAGATAAAATTCACATAAATTTGGCAATTTAAATTGGTAAATAATTTAAATTAAAAAAACTAACACACACACACCACATGTTATTCATTATTATTGTGTTATTCCAATTATTTTACTTCGTTCGAAACTTTATTTTTTTATGTGGGTGTAATAAATATACTATGAAAAAAATTGGCAATGAGATAATTATAATATATAGTGTCTAAACATCACAACACTCTTCTAAGATACGACCTTTATTTGACGTTTATTTCATAGGAAATTCTAACGTTGGACAATAGATAGACAATTTTGATGTAGCTTTCTCGGTGACTTTTAAGGGGTGATTAATTATTTTCACAATCAGAAAAAAATACATATAAATTAATTAAATGCAGTTTGAGTAGGTAGTACTTACGAGATGGATGATTCCGGCGGCGGTCAACCACACGGATATAAAAATAGACACGAGTTGAGCAAGTCGAATTGAACTCGACGTTTTTAGAATGTTTAAATATTGCAAAATATCAGGCACTGTCATTAGGCGCAGAGCTCGGAGGAACCTCAGACCTAGAAAAAAAGGAGCAAATCTAGTGTATTTCGAAGGTTAGAACGATAACATTAAATCATACATCTTTCTGATCTAATAGGGTAATAAGGTAATTCGACGGTATGGTTTGTTACTATCGTTTTTCTTAAACATCTGATTGCACTTACCGATCCAAGTTCGACCCAAGTATATCGAAAGAAACGACGGTGGAATCGTAAAGTAGTCTACAAACGAGTACATTTCTAACATAAACCATAACTTATCACTGGCGGCTATAAACTATAAACAAAATAGAATACATTTTTTAAATCCAAAGATAAATATTATTAAAATTGTGTAAATATAGTTACCATGATAATAAGTATAGCTTAATAATAATTGATGGTAAACCCGATATAGTGTTTTAATGTAATATTTATTTAGTATTTAATAACTTTAGTATGCTGTTTATACAAATTGTAATGCATTGTACTTTTCGGTCTGCAATTAAGTTGTAAATTACTGTGAATTTGATGCATAATCAGTAATCACTTTTATTATCGCTATTCACTAGTCCATAATAGACCAGAAAAGTCGATAACTTTTCTCCAGAACGAAAATATTCTTAATACAACTTATAAACTCTCATCAGCATGATATTTAAATTTGTACTCATTTAAAGAATTTTCTATTACACAATGCATGAAGAACAAATTATATTATGCAAATTATTTAAATTTTACAACAGTCATAAAAGCAAAAACAGGAAATTGCATTGTAATAATTTTTACTATCGTTCAAGATAATATCAATTTAGTTTTTTTTGCTCATTTTCGCATTTATTTATGTAAATTTTTCAATTATTCTAGAACGTTGATGTGACTATAAAAAAAATGCATCCCTATTTGTAAATGCTATTTCACAGTATATTTTATGTAATCATCCTAAATAATGATTACATATTTACATTTAATATTGTTTTTAAATATCTGCGGACAACAAGTTATCTCCTAGTATTATAAAATATAGCAATAAGGGGCCCATTGGGACTACCGGATTCTAAGAAACATTTTATAGGCAATATAATAATATGCATTCTGCCGTCAACCATGTCATTGTATTAGTCGTAAATCATCATTAGTGTGAGTTATGCATTCGGGTGAAGTAAATGTTTAGGTTACGATTCTAGGCACTCGCGCGCATAATAATTTTTCTTAGTATGTCAACTTACCATTTGACGAATAAATAAAAATGTTTAATTAATTTCAACAAACTTTATTGGGCTATAATATACTCCAAAGGTATGCTTAGCTTCTATGGTAGTTCTTAAAAAAATTCATTTGAATTCTCCATACTAGTTAGTAGTTACAAGAGAGTAAGGGACGATTGACGCACACTTCAAAATTATCGAGGTGAAAATTCTTTACTGAGGTACAGCAGGTACGCCAAAAATGTAGCGTCGCGTTAGGGTCTGAGCGTCTCATTCCGTTATTTTTCCATGAAAACGATATCGTGGAAAAGAAAAGAAAAGAAAAGAAAAGAAAAGAATTTTTATTTAATATTTATAATTATTATTTTGTTTTCAACTGTTGTACTCTTGTACCGATAGAAAGCATTGTAGGTATCAATCATAGAGTAAAATATGGTAGCGACAAACATATTATAAGATATTATTAACTAATTTTATTCCTTAAGCCGGATTCACAGCTACATCGTGTGTCGTGTCGTGCGAGGGCGTGGTAACTATATGGTTAAACTGGTAATCATATTGGTTTAAAAGTCGAGCTGTTGTCAATTCTTGGTATACTCGGTTGCAACTTGGTTATTACACGATACCAAAAAGTAACGTCCTATCACAATGAGATTCGATCAACACTACACGACACACGACGTAGCAGTGAATGCACCTTTATACTATTTCGAAAAAAGACAGGCTGTCCTGTGTTTGCAATCAACACTCAAAGTCACAACATGCTAGTTTTTTAACTAATTAAATAACATGTTAAGTTCAATTTTCTTTTTAGCTTCTTAACCAAATTCTTTCTAATAAAAAAAAATGTTACTCGAACATCGTATAAATGTTATGGAGAATTTTAATATATTTCCAGCATTAAAATCGGAATAGTCGTTGTTTCGTACAGTTATAATTGGAAATTAGAATGAGTGGTCATAAAAAAAAAATATGCTAGTCGCAAGCCCCTCCAAAGATAAATATACAATTATTAAACATTAATTAAGAACAAAAATACTTACTCTTATAAAATAGTAAACCATAAAAAAAATATTGAACGCTAAATCTACTTGTTGAGTAACATTGTGACTCCACTTTTGGCATCGTTCAACCTCCTCGCTGGAAAAAAACCGGTATTTAAATGAATGGTTCTTTGGAAACTGCTATGAGTGCATTACAACTTGTGTTTTTCAACTTACTTGGAGGCGTCGATAAAATATATAATTAGAGATGCTATACTTAAAATGAACACAAGCACCACCTGAAAAAAAAATATGATACATTAATGAGAAGTCTATTAGTACGAAATAATTATACATTATTACTGCTGATTTCTGGCCCGTGTATAACACTCGAGTCTCGAGCCCATTTTATTTTAATTGGATTATCCAAACGGGTGTTTTATCAGTAAACGTAATATTGTAATATTTATTAAAATTAAAATACATAGTGAAAACTAAATTTGTAGAACGGAACTTTGTTCGATACACAATATGTAAATTAGTTGGATCCAATTTCCGGCACCGGGTGGGCGATTAAATAGAAAATCGAGTGAGAAATTTAAAATGTATGCTTATACAATTTTGTTACTGGATTCGCGTTGTAATTTCCTACATTATTTTGATAGCGATGATATGAAATTCGGCCGACCTCCGCTTGATTTGGGCCCAAAGTCAATATTAGATTTTAGTAATCCGATTCAAAAGACGCGTTCAAGGTCGACGTCCAAAGCGTCATATTGTGTCGTAAGTATACTATAGTATATAAGTGCATTCAATTTAGCTGGCCGACGGTGTGTTAAACGAATCGTGAAAAAATTTTTCCTGAAATTTACAGTATATATAGTTCAGGGAGAAACGAAACGAAACGAACCAACATTTGCAAGCGACGCGATCACGACGGGAGCGGGTGGTTCAAATTTTCTCAAAAAAAAGACACATCGACTGACGATTAGGTGTTTTTTGACTTGTCCCCGCTATCGAGCTAAACAGGTGAGATTTGTTGGTTTCGTACGCGGACAAATTACTGTTAAACGTAATTGCTATAGTTTTGTAATATACGAGTACGACGGTATGGTCACCGTCATCGTCCATCACAGTGTCGAGAGTTTTATATTTGTCGTCGTGTTTTTTTGGTGTCGTCAGCGACGAAAAGACATCGAAGGGCTCGTTATAGACAAACGACATCTGGCCGGAAAAACAAACAAACAAACGAGCGAACTCACATTCGGCCGGTCAAAGACTATTATACGCGTCTAATTCCAGGGGATGACGCATCATCGCTGCGAAACACGCCTCGTCGTCGGACCGTAAACATAAAAAAGTATAGGCGCCGAACGGAAATCCGATTTTTTTAGTCCTTCGAGAAAATCTGTACGTATATTATGTACAGACTACATTTCGCTCTGAATTAATGCTGCTTCGTTGTATAACATATTATATTATGCGATATTATGTATAATGTATAAATACGCGTTGACTAACCAATATAATGTCATGTTAATAGCGAATAGTGAATTCAAAATAATTAAATATACTGTGACAAAAAAAAATACCTATTCTATACATTGTATTTAATTTCTACAATAGGTAAACATACAATTTATAGATTTGAAAAAGTCCATAAGAAATTTAATTCATATAATATAATATAATGTATAATCTGTACAACTAATTGTGTGTATGCAACAAGCCAATTGCACTTAAGAATACCTACAAATAGTATTTTAAAATTTCAGTGACTATAAATTCAGATTGTTTTTTTAAAGATTGAACAACCATTCCCAAACAGAATGACTACCTCTTATCAATAATAGTTATACATTCAATGGTAAAATCATGAAATTCGTTACCTATTTAGGTGCAACATGATGTTAATGTATACCAGCACAATGAATGAGTAGATTCGTATAAATAGTCCAAACAACTGCATTTAAACATGCATTGAACACACAAGTACTAGCGAATGCCACCTTGCTCACCTTATATAAGTAAACGAAACGTTTTGATTATTGAAAAAACTTGCAATCTCATAAACAAAACGAAAAAACGAATTATTTATTAACCTTGTCATTTCACTTTATCGCGCACTGCAGTGACAGATAATATTATTGTACTGTTTAAATTCGAACAACGATTTGTTGTCTTCCAATAATTTACGATTTTTCTTCAAATGAATACATATACCTATATGTATAATATACATAGACGAGAGTCGAGAATACACATAATAATATACAATAAATATATATATATATATATATATTTTATACAGCAAAGTTCAAGGTAAGCTCGTATATGTAGGTTTACGATGATTTAAATTCACCCTCCTTCCACCGTCATCGTCGTTATGTAATATACAGACTGCCGACGAAATTACATGAACATTTTTTTTTTTTGATTTACAACGCGAAACTGCTGCCTTGCGACCACGTGGTGACCGTAATTTCGTTCGGAGAGAAAAAACTAAACGGATAACAAAAAAAAAAAACGTTTCGGGTACGAGTTATATTTATACAACTACGACCGAGTCGTCTACTCCCCCCTCCCGCCCTTGTTCTACCCTTTCGTGAGCTACGCAGTAGTTTCCGGGGGACATGACACTGCTGCAATAACCTAATGACCATACCACTACACGTTTATTTTTTATAAACACGTTTTTTCTTCTTTTTGATAATGACACGTATTATATATTATAAAAAAAAATATTCTTTGATGATTCGGCTCGTGCGTTTATTTGTTTTATTTAATTTAAATTTTTTTTAGGACCAACAGACGGCTGTCTTAGAGGGCCAAATAGATGCGTTTTTTGCCACGTCAATATTGTATCGCTGCCAAACCCGTAAGGCCTAATAGAAATTGATTATTTTCAGCCCCCCTCCCGAGCATCTCTAGTCGCAACACTCGTCCACAGTGACGACGATATTTTAGCCTCTTAATTTATTTACGGACTGTGATATACTGTGGTGACTACTTAACCATTCGACCATTCGACCCCCAATCGTCTGATACAACAATAATTGACGTCACCGACCATTTCTGTATTTTTGTTTTATAATTTTTTTTTTTTGCTCGGCGTGCACACTACACCAATTGCACGCACTACAAAATCGAAATTATAACCACGAGTAAAAAAGTAAGTATATTACTGTATAGTAAATACACAAATAAAAACACTCACAATTTTTAACTGTATTATACCCACATAAATTTCTGTTCCGAGAATGAATGAAACAACATTTCTTATCTAACCCAATTTATTGCAACAACAAGATTATTTTTTTTATACATATTTGTGTAAGCGATTGATTAAATAAAATACACAAACTACACTGCACCTAGGCACCAATATCGAGTATGTTTTGGTCTATAATATAGTATGGGATTAGTGTAATCGTACAATGTTATGCAGTAGATCGTATAAATTATGAGGATAGGCAAGTCCATACCATATAATCATAGTTTAAATATAAAGTGTCTTACAAATAAATAGTATACAAATAATTTTATAATATTATAGATGATCAACCAATACAAATGTATTATTATAAATATTAACAAATTGAAGAAAGGGACAGAAATTAGTTCGATCGTAGTAAAAACTGAATATATTATAATTATTAGTTTAATCACAAAAGCTACGTACTCGAAATACAAAATAGGATTACCCACGCCATTATAATTACAATTGGGTCAACAGAGTAATTTTGAAAATTCAATGATAATTTTCTACATAAAACAACGCTATCAAAAACGTTTATATGCCTAGTGTACCTACTCATTTCATAGTTTTAAGTTTATAAAAATGTATTAAGTATTAACGTTTATTTAGCATCAGCACATAGGTGTATATACGTATTATTATATGAAGCTATGAATGTAATTTGAAATAAATTTGAGTAATGATTTCATAATATGTATGTATAATAGTAATAATATAAAATACGCATAGATACCTACATATTTTTTTTTATTTATCTCATTACATTAAAATCACTATTTTTATTTACACACCATTGACAAAACGAGGAACCAAGTTGCTTATTAATTACATGTTTTATTATAAAGGTCACTAATTATTATATTATAAATATAAAAATATAACATAGAATATTACGTTGAATAGTTAAAAGCCTAATTAGAAATATGTAAAAGAAGACATTATTAAAATTAAAAATAGAACATAGTATGCTTCATTTAATGTATTCGGGCGAAAACAAAAATACATAATTACTGTTTTATACCAGCTGTATATACTGAGATATGTACCAAGCTTGTATTTTATAATACAGGTATCTATTCAGATCAACTAACAATTATTATTTAGCACAGATGATGAACTAAAAACGATGGCATTGGTGCAGATAAAAGTGTAAAATACCAACAAAACTTAAATGAAAATACAATAATTTAAAAACATTTTTATTTTAAATAATAAATTATCACTATTAATTCAATATAATGATGTTTTTTTTGCAAATATCGAAAATAGATACCTCTAATTTAATTTATTAATAGAATAATAAGTATGTTTATTGTACATAACATATTATACATTCGATGCAATGCAAATAGAGAGAATTTGAAGGCAATAGTATCCTTGTTTCTATGGTGACGTGTTGATGTAATATAATATACGGCCATAGACGAAGCATGCAGCCACAATATAATTCAAATATTCTTGTCTATTTATTTTACAATGCGCTAGTTTATCATCAATAATTAAATTACCTAAATCGAGAGGTATACTAAAATAATTATATAAAACGTAGACATACGCAGCAAATAACTGAATAGTTAAAGATAACAGTGATTACAGAAAGAATTATTTTAATTATCACTCGAGCCGAAAGTATTGGGTAGATAGGTCCTACCTCCTACCTATCGTCAACGTGTTAGTCAAATATAACAAAATGAACGTCACATCATGTTATTCGTTTTTCATGTTTTACTATTGATTTTTCAATACATTGTAAAAAGGTTGATAAAAAATAATAAAACGGTCGAGCGTTTGTCACGCTTTAATTCGCTTTAGCCAATAAAAGTCTCCCGGGAATCGCGTTTCAGGGTAAGTCATTTAGTCGCTGAGGAGGGCACTTTAGAGATATGTGTTGTTGCCTTTTTAAGCCCAAAAGTGATTAATCATAGCTTACTAAAAACGGTTTCAAAAATTCAAACGGACCTCGGTTCGTTATAAGTTTGACCGTAAATTTAACCATATTTTGCACTTTTTACGATCTCTCGAAAAGTTGTACCACAACTT